GCAGATGCACGAACACCTAATTCCTCTGCTCTGATGCGTCACGTGTGAAAGAAAATAAAATCGAAAGACGAAACGGAAAGATCTGAGTCAGCAATTAAACAGGTCACAACAGGAAACGAGTAAAACTCTATGCTAGTTTAGTGCTGAGGACCGGCTGCTCTATGAGGCTGTACACCTCCAACACGTTTGGTACACATATCATGAACGCCACTCCCTATGTTGACATAAAAACTACAGTTTCCAAAGCTGACCTGTGACCTTTGTCTCAGTCCATTCATGCATCATTAGAGTTTTATACTGCCACCAACTGGGCATTATTTCCACTGGCATTAAGATATATTTTGATCATTTGCAAAAACAAAACAAGAAAAAACTCCAAAAACAAGTAGGAAAGAACGTGTGCTGCATACCTGGGGTTGAACACACCAACATACACTTCCAGGGACCTTTATAACATTTGAAATAATTTCTTGCCGTGACTCAATGACACCAAACCCAAGGTTTGGATATCCCACTGATGAGAGTGTCGTCCACACCCGTCCTGTGTTTTTTTTTTTTTTTTTGTAAGTTTCCTTGATGGATTTTATCCAGATAAGATTGCGTAAGCCTTTAAACCTGCACCGGTGCACCATGGGACATTATTCGTAAGCCACTCTTCAAACCCTGATTAAAAAGGGAGGCAAACATATTTGCATCAAGGATGATTAAAGTGTCTCATTATAATTAATGCACATTAAGCTTCTCCCATAGGAGACCGTGGCAGGGGATGAATACATCACCACCTAGCATCACTTCTGTGTCGTGGGACGAGGGGAAGTGACACAGACGGGAGCAGATCACACGCCGCCTTTTGTAGTTTTTTTTTTTTTGTCTGAATACAATGTTTGGCAGTGAACGATGATCAATGATGAAATCTGTGAAGAGATCTACCAAGATTTCATTAACGATCAAACATCTTGCGTTGACACCCCTCCGCGGTGAGACGTTAATAATGTACGGGATGTTGTTTGGGCTGGAGGGAGTGCTTTACGCTGACTGTATCACAACTTTGTCCACTGGGGAAACACACTTCAGATCGCAAGCTCCGAGAGGAAGGAGCAGCGAGAGGAAGAGGGATCCACATACATACTCTTGTATATTGACGTGTGTGTGAGTGGGAGAGAGAGAGGGAGAGAGAGAGAGAGAGAGAGAGAGAGATGTCACCTCAGCTCCAGTGCCGTCAAGCTAAACTGATATAAACAGCCCCAGGCGGCCCTATCAGATATGGACTTTACATAACATCTGAGTCACTCACATCTATTTATGTAGCTTCGAGGTGTGTGTTCGTGTGAGTTTCAGGGGTTTGTGTCCTGAGATTAAAAAAAAAATGGAGATTTTTTGAGAACGTGGCCCAATCCTCTTGGTCAGGTCATTCTGACCATGTTTCACTGCTTCAAGTACATGGTTCAGTAGTATTTCTTGGTTTTTAAGGTCAAAATAAAGTAGGAATGGCAACTAGGTTAAAGGAGGGTCACGGAAAAAAATATATATACTTGTTTATTGTCACATTGCCTTAAGAATCAACAGCAGAGAACCTACAGGAGGGGGAGGCAGAGGGAAGGGGGAGGACTTAATATTATGTTTTAACATTGTTAAGTGTGGTTAGCATCCTGTTGGTGCAGACTGAAGTAAAGCTAGGGTATGATAGGGTAGTATTTTTCTCCTTCTGGGTACAAACACTCCATATAATAGCAGCAGAAATCAATGTTAAATATTTACTAACAATCCATTATTAAAGGTTCATTAGGTTTTGGAGATTAAAAGTCAATTCGTTAATTAAAGATATTTTTGGAGAATTAATTAATCAATTTAAATAGTTCTAGAACTACACGGGAACTGTTGAAAGTTTTTGTGTTTTTTCTTTAAATGGCCGACGTAGAGACCTGGTGAATTGTGGGATTGTTGATCAGTTGATTACATTAGTCTTACAGTCCTGGTGTCAGTATGGGTAAAACTTTTTTTTTAAATATGTAAACCCAAGAAACGGCATATTTACCTGCCTACGTGGACTCTATGCTCAAGGTCCATGTGGGCCACATGCAAAATTGATTTATTTCTGCATGTTGGAAAAGTGATAACTGCATTTGATCTGTTTATTAATAACCAGTTAAGATTGGTTGTTTGTTACAGGTTACAGTGTTTTTGTCGCTCTTCAGGCGGCCACTGTGCTGCGCTCTGTGACCTTAAACGCCAAATCCCAGCAATCGGAATAGAAATCCTGACCTTTAGAGTTGCATTTCAATTTTGATAATAGAAAACATCATTATGGTTTTGATATTCATGAGGGCAGAATTATATAAAGCTTTAGAAAATGACTCTCTATTCTGAGTTCCAGGAAAAAATAGCAACACACACACAAACACACGGACTCACACACACACACCGTGGCTTCTTGATGCAGAGCATTTGCGCATTTTTGCAGCAGGCAGAGATAACTGAATCCCACCAAAATGTTTCAGTTTTTTCCACTTTTCTATCTATTTTTTTTTTTTTTGTCATTAATTCATTTGTGATTAAGATTGGAATCTTTAGCGATCGGAAAGGTTTTCCATCAATGTCAGCCTGTGCCCTGAGGCATCACATCCTGTTTTACTCTGGTGTTGGTGGAATAAATTACCAGCAGCACTGTGATGCAGCACCGTCGGCTCACAGCAGGGTGTGTTTTTGACTGTAGGTGGGAATTGTTGTTTCCCACTGTACGCCGGTGATGTGATAAAGTGACAACCTGTTCAGGGTGTTTCCTCCTCAGTCGGTGTTATCTGTGATTGGATTCAGCCTCCGCGCCTGACCCTAAAGGGACAAGTGACCCTTGAAGCACCAGTGACATGGATTATGGTTGAATGGATGGATGGTTGGATGGATGGGTGGATGGTTGGGTGGAGGAGACAAACAAGCATTTGCATGAATATAAATGAATGATGAAGCCTGACTTATACCTACAGTTGATTTTCTGACACAATCTAGGTTTAGATTTACCATCAAAAAGCATTTAGAAATGTTAGAGTTCGAGGAAAATTATTTTCAGCAAATTTGGCTGAAACCCAGTCACTGTAAACGACCCAGAGATACGCAGCCGTACTGTGAACACATGGTGTCTTCTCTGTACTCGCTTGTACCGATCGACTACTACTGATCGAACTCCAGATCAAACTCACAATCACAATCCTTTTGTCCATTACAAAATGCTCAAAATCACATCTGCATTCAGCAATCACTCAGCCTCACCTGAGCACACAGAGAGAGGCAGGTTCTTAAAACAGATCCTGCTTCCAGTAGATGAATCTCTTTTTGACAGGAGTTATAACAGGTGTTTAGAGTGTGTGTGTGTTTGTGTGTGTGTGTGCGTGTCATAGGTAGTGACAGAGGTCACTGTGTCTACTCATGGCTGACAGGAATCATTTTGTAGTCTGGTCAACAGGGGCATTTTCCTTCCCCCTAACAGAATCTCTCGTTTTTTCCAGGCAGCAGAGAACACACATCACTTTAGTTGGCTGCAGGGTTCCTCCGTGTGATTTCACGTCTTTGTCTAGAATGTTTAGTGCATTTTTAAAGCTTGAAATAAGAAACTTTTATATTTAGTTATTCAAGTTATTTCTTACCTTTTCTTTGGTCGGTAAATCAGTGGTTAAAGGCAAAAACCTCTTTTTAAGTCTTTATATTTGTTGCATCTAAATGTCTCAACCTTAAAAAAATGATTCATAGGCTGATAATAATGTGTAGTTTTGTGGAGTGTAGTCAACATTTACTCATCATTTATATTTTACGTATGTTTTTGGTGCAAATGTTGAAATAAAAACTGAGATGAAAACTCTCATTTTGCGGGTAAATAAAATTATGGATTTAAACGTGAATACTTCTGCACAGTAAAAAGCGACATGTCCTTGGTGTGTCCTTCACATTCTCTACTTTGATATGTGTGGTTTGTCCATCTCCCCAGCTGGAGATAAAAGCATTTTGCTTCAGGTGTATGAAAACGGGGGTCGGGGAGAAGGGAGGGGGAGGGAGTGAGGGTGGGAGGCATCATATCTCAAATGTTTAATATCATTATTGGCCATGTGACAAAATGTGGACAGCCTGGAGAAACGTGCCTGCAATATTGAGGAGTCCTTCATTAAGCGTGGACAGTATGATCCCTGTGCGTGCGCGTGTGCGCGCGTCAAAGGGGCTTCGTGCACGTCTTCCTGAACCAGGACTGGACATTTGGCGTTGCAACAAGCTCAAAGACTGACGTGGGGGGAATAAACATGTGCCATGCGTAAAAGCAGTGACAGTCAACCTTAAACACGGCACAGATGAGGCGGCAGGAGCAGCAGCAGCAGCAGCAGCAGCAGATAATCCCGTTATCTCCCGTTATATGTGAAATGCCAACGTGGACGCATTTCACAGGAACCGAGATGAACTGAGCGTGAACTAATGTTGCAGATACCGGAGAGGGAGAGCGAGGGAACGGGGGGAGAGGGACGGGGGTAGCTGCTGGGTGACGGGGTAAACACACTTGTTCTTGACCTTAGGGGACACCCACCCCGTTTACCGCAGTCTGACCGCCGGCCTTTAGCCCGTTATTGTTAATTGATAGCGCACGAGAACGCGCCCGCGCACCTCCCCTCCACCCCCACTTCCTGATGACATTGAATCCATCACCTTTGAGCTTCCACTGTCATTGAAACACAAGACTGAGTCCAGTGACTCGACTGATGGACAGTTGTTTTCTACTTGAGAAGAATTTGTGTTCTGTGTTTACTTGTTTTAAATGCGGGATTTCCAAGGGGTTCCAGCGGGGACGCACGCCGGCCGGTCATCACCTTCTCCCCGCAGAGTTCATTTGACATTACGCACAATGGAATCAATGTGTTTGTGTGTATGCGCTGAGACGCAAACAGAAGAAAAAAAACACACACACACACTCACACACACACTTCAGGAACACGCACGTAGAGGAGAAAGAAAAAGGAAACACGCACACTTACGGGTTGACCCCAGACTCTGCGGGCTCCTCTGCGCGCCCCATTGTAAAAAAAAATCCTCGTTGTGAATTCCCTGATTCCTCAAATGCCGTGGTCACAGTCAACGTCTCTGCAAATGTACCATAGGATCACATAGAGGATGAGGAGTATGGCGAAGATGAAGAGCGCTACTAGGATGGCTTTTGTCACCGGAGAGATGAGCGACTGCATGTCAGGAGCAGAGCCGGGCAGAGCGGCTTGGAGCTCCGCGTCCCTGCGTCTGTCCGTCCGTCCGTCCTCAGTCCTCAGTCCTCAGTCCTCAGTCCTCAGTCCGCTATCCCTCTCTCTCTCTGCTGCGCTCCTCTCCTGCGCTTCGGTGGCAACTGTTGAGGACGTAGCCCGGGGCTTTGTCGTGCGCCAGTTTACACTTCAGAGCCCGACGCACACGCGTTCCACGCCGCCAGTGTTTAGCCCCGGCGATCCAAGCGCGCAACGCGTGGGGGCTTCCCTGGCAGCAGCAGACAGTCCACAGGTCCTCTCTCCACGGCTCTCTGCCGCACATCAGAGGAAACAGCAGCGCCGGGGACGACAGTGATGACCACCTGTTATGTGGAACACGGATGTCTGAAATAAACACTCACTGACAGCATGAAGCAGTCACAGATTCAGATCCAGCAGAGACGGCTCAGAGTCAAGTCCTGGGTTGCGCGCTGCGCTGCTGCACTTGTGTCTGCAAACAGGTTGATTTGTATTCCTCACACTGGTGCGCGTGTGTGTGTGAGTGAGCGAGAGAGAGAGAGAGAGAGAGAGAGAGAGCATCCTCTTATCACGATTCCTCTGGACAAATTAAAGACTGTGATCAATAAATTTGACTTTTGTTTTAGCAGCTCTTAAAATGCTGAGTTAAATTTAAAAACTGACCTCAGGCCTTACAATATCCTTATAAAACAATGATTTGTGGTCCGTCTCCTCCACCCACCAATATTTCAATGTCTATAACAGATTTAGAAAACATATCATAATTTTAAAAAGTCGGTGTACTTCCTGAAGTGAAATAAAAAAACCCACCCATGTTTGACAAGAAAAGTTATCCACTGATCAACTGCTTTGTATTTGTTAAACATTAACCAACTTTAACACTTGACACCTGCGGCACACCTTGAAAGAAGTTAGAAAAGAAGCAAAAATCAAACTGAGAATTTCACTGAAAAGTTAAAAAATAACATTTTGTAAAGTTCACCATGGCAAAGGATAGGGTGGAGGGAGGCCTATTCAAAACACCAACAGTGAACACTCACATCATTACCTAGAATAGTTAAATGTCTTTATTGAGTAAAATGTTTTATTTTTGAAATGTATAATTTACAGTGGTCTGATCCTTCTGGTGCTTAGCTGGGCTACGCTTCGATACAATTTTTTTTTTCATTTTTATTATATTTGTATTTTAAAAACTGGTGCTTAGCTGGGCTACGCTTCGATAATAGTTTTTCATTTTTATTATATTTTTATTTTAAAAACAATGATTCTTTTGTTGTTGTTGTTGTTGTTACCTATAATGCTGCCATTCGTATTTTTGTTGCCATATAGATTGCCATGCATTACTGGTGAAAAACTGCATGGACCAGTATGCAGCTTAGCATCTTTTGACCCACGTTACTGCCATTTAATGTGAAATTGCCACACAGTAAACAAAAGCCTCACAATCTTGTACTAACTCTACTTTAACCTCAACCTCTGAGGTGCCATTATTATTACACTAATCTCTCCACCGCTAGATGGAGCCAAAGAGAAGCGTACGTGCCCTCACGAATATGTGATGGTGTGCATTATTCCACACACCATCGTTACACTGTAGTCCTGCATAACAATCACGATGACAGTTGAGCGGCTCTGAGACGACAAGAAGGTAAGACGAAACCCTGCAGCTATGGCGACTAACATGAGGCATGCTTACTACTTTTGCCAGTGTTTTTGTTTGCCCGAGTAGCTTGTTAGCCTTCTTAGCAGGCAACAGTGTTTTGGCCTGTCGAACAGCGACTGAGGAAGCAGGAGCCACTAGCTCAGCAGCGGAACATCGCTGCCCGCAAGTTTTGTGAATTGTGCAAACCAAAGTTGTTATTCGTCCTTTAATAGAGCCCGTAACAACCGCCGAGTGCTGCGTGTAAGCACGAGTGTCTCCTGCTTACGACAAGTTGTGTCATTTAATACTGCGGTGTCAGAGATGCTCAATATTTGCTGCAACCTGGCTAACTAGCCTCACGAAGGCCGTGAATATTTGTAAATGGAATCTTAGTGTACGTAACGCTTCTGGTGATAGCTTTCAAAATAAAGCACTTGTAGAGCAACATACTACTGGAAATTGACCTCCTGTCGGTGGGTTACATTTACTTGTGGCTTTTTAGATTCTGCCTTGTCAAATATCTACGACGTACTCGGAGCTATTGTGTTATTCACTCGTTTTGTCATAAATTAGTTTTAATTTTGAAAGTGCACCGGCTTTATTTCCTGCCTCTCTGCAGCATTTTCGTCGTTATACCTGGGCTCGATTAACGTTAGCATCTTTGACAGGCGCGGCTAACTCGCTAGCTGCCAGAGAGAAGACTTAACCCACTTAACCCGGGTGACACAGTGAGTGTGTTTACACACGCAACGTATTGATTGTTGTGATGTGTTTAAACCGTGACGGATACTATAATTCTGATACACCAACTTGGACTGGATTGTGTAAACTATTTAAACCTCTGCCTAAATTCACAAATGCTAGGTTCGCCCGTTTTAGATCGAGTCGCTATTAATAAACTTAAGTATTGCTTCGTGTAATGCGTCAGTATATGTGGTAACGTGGTAATAAAAGTAATTTAGTCATGTCGTTGATGGACAATTCGTGAAAAACTTAAATAAATAAAAAAAGAAAACAGCAGCCTGCATGAACTAGTAGATAATTGATCAATAAACATGTATCGAATGACTACGATACCTTCACGGGTAGTATTTTATTTTGAGAGTATTTTTAATTGATTCTTGAATCTTGAATAAGACACACGGCCATGGTTACACTCCTGAAACTTTATGTAAATATATAAAGAAATAAAGCGACTGGTATTTACACAGACTGACATCTTTCCCTTGTTAAACATAGGCTTATGTAGTCATAAAAAACACAGTAATATAATACTGTATATCATATACTAACTTTACTCTTTTTCTTCTCCTGTAAGACTTCAAACTCTTATGTAAGATGAATGCTGAGGACAAGTTGGATGGCATGCTGCTCAAATGCAGCAGTGGAGGGATAGATGGTGGAGGGAGAGTGGGCCTCACAGCTGGAGGTGGTCTGGTGGTGATGACTCTGGGCGAACGATCACTGGTTAACCAGCCTCTTTTGGCGGAGGATGACGACGAGGAAGACGACGATGACGACTTGACCGGTAGCTCGTTGGTCACTCATGACCTGGTTCCTCCGGAGCAGCTGATGATGCAGGAGGACACAAGAAAGAATGGTGGAGGGGAAGAAGAGGCTGCAGGCGAAGTGGGAGTGCATATTCCCCTGAAACTCAACAATAAGTTGCCCTGCCTGCTTCATGTGCCAGTGAGTTGTGGGTTAAGAAAGCATTGTTTTTTTCTGTAGATTAATCATGTGGATGGTTGTGGGTTAAGAAAGCATTGTTTTTTCTGTAGATTATGGTGGTTATATTTGTTACGGTTAGAAAATAAAAATATTAAATGAGAGTCTGCTTCAACGTTAAACTTTTGTAACTGTTTTTCAGGCTATAGGAATAACAGTTTTGCTTAAATGTCAACGAGTAGAAAACTTTTTTAAAAGCAACCAGTTTTCCTGGCTTGTTAACTTCCCCTTTGGTCTGCTATTTCACCAGCATGCTGATTTAAAGTTTTTGAGCCAAATCTTTGAGTCTTCTGCTATTGTATTGTAGTGAAGCAGCAGTAATGAGCTTCAATCAATCTGTGAGTGCTTATCGTTGAGCTGCTGCCTGTTACATCTCCCTGACCTGGGTAGTTTCCTGGATGTGTGGGCTTAAGAAAAAGGTCATCTTCCGTGTCAGGCTTTATCTCATCCCCCCTTGTGATCTTTTTTTTTTCCAGCTGACCATCAAGCAGGAGCTAAAGCTGCCTGAGCCAACAGTCCTAATGAAGAAGGACAAAAAAACAGCAAAGGAAATGATCATGTGTCCAAAAAAGAAGAAAAGGAAACAGCGCTCACCAGCAAAGGTGCAAGTGAGCTCTTTGTTGTTATTTTGGACCTGTGGCAAAATGAATGACAATAGCTGTCTGATCTTTCTAACGGTAAATAAAATACTAATAATCAAAATACACTTTAGATTCTTAGCATTAACGACGACGGATCAATGGGAATACAGAACCCCAAGTGTCACGTCTGTGTTCATTGTAACGCTGCCTTCAGAACCAACTATCACCTGCAGAGGCATGTCTTCATTCACACTGGTAGGAACGGACAGATTTGATCAATTGCTGGCAAGTAAATATAAGGAGAGCCTAATAAAAGAAAAAACTTATTTATGAAATATTTTAAACTCTAGGAGAGAAGCCGTTTCAGTGCAGTCAGTGTGACATGCGCTTCATTCAGAAATATCTTCTCCAGCGACATGAAAAAATACACACAGGTAAGTGAAGATTTTTTTCCATGGTCGCCTTTTAATTTGCATTCATCTTCGTCTTTTTCTTTTCCTTTCATGCAGGTGAAAAGCCCTTCCGTTGTGATGAGTGTGGAATGAGATTCATCCAGAAATATCACATGGAGAGACACAAGAGAACTCACAGTGGAGAGAAACCGTATCAGTGTGACTACTGTCACCAGGTAATACTTTTGGAAGTATTTCACCATTTAAATGGGGTTTGGAAATCAGTACTAAAAAAGCATTAGCCACAACAGATAAGGAATCATCGGTGTTGCAGTGATCAGGTGTTTGTCTCACTTACATAGAAAAACATCAATTGTTGTGAATGTTATGGTAAATGATTATTGTGGTAAAATAATGCAGTGACTATGGAATTAATATTACCACGGCACCTTCTGCAAAATTTCCATGTATCGTCCAGCCCTACTTTTTAAACATAATAAATCTATTTAGGGCACTCGCGTCACTTAAATTTGCATAAAGAAACAGTGTTATTGCAAGAAATATGCCAAGGTTAAAATTCTTCTTTTTCTTAAAATTGACCTAAATATAAAGTCTTCAGTATAAACTGATGTAGTGGGAAAACACAGTAATGTTCCAGTAGTCATAAATTAAGCCAAAGCTGAGCTGTTTATATTTGAGATTTACTTCCCTTGTGAAAACATAAAAAGACACTTTGTTTAGAATTAGGAAGAAGAAATTTTATTTTCAGTTTCCAGAATGTTTTCAGGTTTCGGATTTAGAAAGTACGATAAGTACTGTAGTCCATTGAGAATTCTAGATGACCAACGTCATGCTATAATATAACAACTGTGGAGAGCCTTGAGACCTTAATAATTGTCAGTAAAAAAAAAAACTCCCCAAAATGATTGCAATCTGCATTATAGAAAACAGATTTAAAGTCTCTGAATACGTATCAAATGAACAGTTAAAAAAAAAATCTCTTGGTTTCAGTTGGTTTATGATTTGATTCTTCTTTCCTTAAATATGTTAGGGTTAGGGTTGGTGCAACAAAAATCAAATGACAAAAAAGAGTGACGTCTACAGGGTTCTAACAGAATAAACCCACTCTTCCTCTATTCCCAGTACTTCTCAAGAACAGACCGGGTCTTAAAGCACAGGCGAATGTGTCACGAGAACAGAGAGAGGAAGACCAACAAAGCTGCTGCGAAAGTGGGAGCCCTGCGTGAAGCAGACTGTTCCGCTCTGTCCTTGTCTGCCAAAGATTGTTCACTTCCCAAGAAGAAACGCCAGAAGTGTGTAGACAAGGGTTCGGCCTCCTCCTCCTCCACCGCTGCCCACTCTGAAGAGCACGCTGTCTCCAATGAGGCGACGGGGGAGAAGGTAGAGCAGAGACAGAACAAGATCGAAGGTCTACCTCTTTTCATCGTGTCCTCCAAAGTCAAACACGAGTATGTGATCACAGACTACTCTGTGGACCTGCCTGAAGACACCTCCAGCCCACACCAAGGAGATGTGTCACCAGGAGAAACAACTCCACCCAAACTGGTCTTGAAAAAGGTCCCTAAGAGGAGTCTGAAACAGTCCAGTGAACCAGCAACTCCTTGTCTGTCCACTCTGTCTTCCTTTGAGGAAAACAATAAGGTCGCACATTACACCTTTGAAATAGTGGACAAGCAAGGGTTGCTCGAAGTAGAGAACAACACTGACCTTGAGTCAGTTGAAACCCTTCAAGGTGGACCAACCAAGCCAGCTGCCAGCAGCACAAACTACGACGATGCCATGCAATTTCTCAAGAAGAAGCGTTACCTTCATGCCGCAATGGCAAACAACAGTCGGGATTATGGCCTGAACTCGAGCAGCATCTCTTCTCAACCTTCTGTTACACCAACGGTGGTTTCAACCGTCATTGACGAAACGGTGCCTGCCACTATTCTGGAGCCTCAGCAAATCAACACGGAAATTAAGGCGAGCCACGAAAAGAACGTGCTGCCAGACGAGGTTCTGCAGACGCTGTTGGAACATTACTCCAACAAAGCCAACGGGCAGTCAGATATTTCCTTCAGCGTGGCTGACACAGAGGTGACCTCAAGCATTTCCATCAACTCCACGGATGTGTCGGACAGCAGCCCCGTGGAGAGTCTTGGAACCTCCAGTGCCCAAGCTGCACCGGCCAATGAGAAAGTCAGTCTTTTGCAAGAATATTCAAAGTTTCTCCAGCAAGCACTGGAGCGAACCAGCCAGAACGATAGCTACCTGACCAGCCAGAGCCTTAGCTTGGTCTCTGAAAACCCCACTTTGGCCGGGCAGCCCCTGTTCTCCACAGAGAAACAGTTTCCTTCACCCAGCAGGTTCAAATCAGGGATGAGCTCTCCACTGAGATCCTCTTTAGAGAAACCTCATTTTGGATTACTGGTCGGGGACTCCCAGCACTCGTTTTCATTTTCAGGCGACGACACCACCTCACCCTCCGCGGTGTCTCCAGCTGAGGAGGATTTTCTGGAGCAGGTGTCGTCGCCCTCGAAAAAGACGGACTCCTCACCGGGAATACTGCAGACTTTCCAAATAAGCACCTTTGATCAGAACTTCAAAACTCACTTCCCTCCTTCAAGGTCCGGATCCTCTTCGCAGTTCACTGTAACCAACGGACAAGTAAGTCTTCAAAGGCAAAGCACAGATTTTGCAGAATTCCCCCTAGTGAGAGAGACCAGGTCTCAGCTGAACTCCTCTCCTGACGTTTCATCCAGTGAAACCTTTGGCTGAAAGAACCTTGAGTTTGGAGAGAAAAATCATTTCTGATAATAATTTCAGCTGCACTTTATCTCGTGTCTCCTCTTTTGCCAAAACAAGTCTCATTGTAAATGTGTTCTTTGTTGGAAAACATATTCATGTGTTGTTTTTAAGTTTGGCCTTAAACAAAGTGTAAAAAAAAAAAAGGTAATCTGTGGGTAATCATGAGTTCCCCTTTAAAAGAAGAAGCGGCGTGAATGAAGCTGAATGCTCCGGAATGTACACCGAGAGATTAGCTTACCAAAACGTGCGATAAAATGTGATGAAGATCGAAATATGTTCTCGCACTTTTGCCACAAAATTAATTTCAAGCGTTTTTTTTTTTTCAAATCTTTTTGCCTTGCTCAAAAGATGATCAAATCACTTTTGCTGCTTAATGCGATATTTCCACATCCTCAAACATAATCCTAGCTCCTGTATTTAAAACTTAAGGACCTTTTCTTTTTCCCTTCTGTTCATCAACGCTGGTTGATGTTGTTCACTGAACAAAAACAATCACATGTAGGTCAAGAGTCATTCTTGCTTCTACATTTTGTTCAAATAGCATCTAAAATACCCCGGGATATGTCCATGATCAGATCTAAACCTCACCCTGATTATGATCCATACCCAGGTTAAAATTCAATTGAATTCTATGATGGATAAAATTTGGTATTTATTCTATTAGCTAAAAATGCTAAACAAGTGTCCCCTGTTATTGTCCTGTTATATATAGAATAATTTATTTTGGTTGTCAGAGTAGTTGGTGCAATACAAAAAGACTAGATTTGATTGCATTCTCCGTTGCGTTCCCCTGCCCCGGCAAAAAAAATGTTGTCCAAAGCTGCAAGCATGTAATGACTGCAGGATAAATTATTCAAAGTAATGTAGTTAAATCATGTCAAAGAATTGTGCTAACATTGGCACAACGTGCACATTCTTTTCTACAAGAAGTGTAAAACATTTTTTTATACCTTTACTTAAAGAAAATGTATATGTCACAGATGACACAGAACAATGATCGAAGAACGTTGTTTAATTTCTGTTATGAAAAAAAAAAAATAAAACCACAATTCTTTGTGTGGAACCTTTTCTGACATCAATCGTGAAAGTCAAAGTCGTACTGAGACTCTGTTGTGAAACCTAAACGTTTAATCATTGGTGTGCTCTTATTTTTTTCTATTTTTTCATATTTTCATTCCTTATATTCTTTTTTTTAATATTCTTAAGATTATTACTTTAAAAAATTGCACAATAAAATCAAATCTAAAAATGCATTAACTCTGTATAAACATTTTGCGATCTCGCACCTTTATCTAATTTTTCCCGTTATATATGATCAGTTTCAACATTAAGCAATAAGTAAAAGTGAAAATCTCCAAACTTGTCTGTGGTTGGACGGACACGGCAGGCAGACAATGTATATTTAATGGTTACGTCTGTCTGTTTTGTTTTGTTTTTTTTTTACAATAACTGTCATTTGTTTCTCATGAGTACATGTATGTCTTAGGTGCTACTGTGCTAATCACTGTTCATTCAATCTGTCTCAACAAACTTTAGTTCTCTCTGAGCTCCCGCTTGTTACATTTTTGCTGACGATCAGGGACGAAACAGCATTATAAAAGAAAAAAGAAAAGCTTTTTTTTAAAAAAAACAAAACAAAACAATTTCACATTCCCCTCTAGAACGTAGAGAGAATGTCCTGCTGTAAATACATTGTGTATTTTCTTTTCTCTTTAAGGTCCACAAAGTACTGTTAGATCTCATGTCCACCAACAGACACAAAGGCTCTTGCAAAACACATTTTTTGGAAGTCACAGTTAATAGAGTTAAGCTTTCACGTAGGACTTAAAACAAAAGTTCTTTGTCACCGGCTCTGGTTTGTATATTTACACATGTCCACTTATATCAAACAAAGCAATGATGTGTCTTTTTTTTTCTTTTCTTTTTTTATTATTATTATTTGAATTTTACGTTCAGGTGACTTTTCTCAATGCATTCATTGTGCATTCAGATTACTTTTACTGTATAAACCAGTATTGATAAGCACCGTGATAATCTTCCTTTTAAGGTTTAAGTAGTATCCTGTACTTAAAACCAGCCCTTGTCTGTCAATCATTTCACCTCGTTAGATGTAAGCAACTTAAATCTTAAATGTCATTTTGAAATATATTTTGGGTGTAATATGTTAAAGAAATACTCTGTGGGTAAAAAATAAAAAAAAAATCTTTAAAATGTCTATAAATACCATTTAAAAGAGATAAGTAATTTTTGAGACATGTAATCCACCTGCAATGTTTGTCAAGACTTAAGAATTGCGTTTTGAAATTTGAAAAGTTCGGCATTTTTCCTTGTAATTAACTGTTGTCAGTAACCTGGCCATAAGTGTCCTTGTATAAGCTAAAGGAAAAATGTTTGTTTTGTGTAAAAAATATATGAATTTTTGATAAGAAGAAAAGAACTATTTTTGAAACATGTCGTCTATTGCTACTCTCATATATACTTCATACACGTTGTTTTTGTCGAGGTGTTTCAGGCTTTTTGACGAACCTGATGAAAAACTCACTGCTGCTGTGTGAAGTGACGCAGTGAGGTTCATTTGCATGGTCTAACTTGTTGGGTCGAGTAAACCTGTTTATGGATAATGTGCAGCTTTAATTGTAGCCGGTTAATTTCAGTCAAGTAACCCATATAAATTAGAAAAATTTTGCAGTATGGTTTGTAATCGATCAGATTGTGTTCTTTTGATTGTTGTGTGACATGTCCTTATGAATAAAAAAATAATTTACACAATTTGAGTGAGTTGTGTTCATATGCAGGGTCTGTGACGACCCCTTGTGGTCATCTAGTAGTAAAGTAGTAAAAAGTTAACTTCGTCTTCTGGGAATACGTTTGATAGGGATAATAGGTCAAAAATTTTAAACAGTGAACTGTTGACTAGACGACACTAAACCGTAAATTAAATCCTATAGAAATTTTGAGATTTAATTCTGAGTCGGAAGTTCATCAACATTGCAAGAGCCTTGGATAACCTGGGACGAATGGACTCCATACTTTGAAAAGAGGACACCGTTAAGTACAGCTATTAGTTTTAAAATGCCAAGTAATTTTCTACCTAAAAATTTGGTAGGTTTTGTTGAAATCATTGGTTTTCAATGAACTTTTCAAAAGGCCCAGAAATGTATTTTAAAAGAAGGGAGAAGTTCAAATTAAATTAAACATGGTTTCCTCTGGCAGCCCAAAAACAGAAACAAGACATTTAAATCAATGTATAGTTTATTCAAGTTACGATGCCTCATACGTCAGTTGGTAATTCAGCTTTAAATAAATAAAGACAATTGTAAGTCGAAAACCACAGTTTTTTTTTTCTTCTTCAATAAACTGATTCTCGTCCGTGAACTATCCACACCTCGCTCTCCTACTATTGACGTGGAGTCCAGTTCCACGGTATGGAAAATTACACCACCAATAAAAAGAGATAAGGACAGCTGCATTTTTAGGCTTTTAATCGTGAGTAAACCGTCTCTGTTGCACTAGGGCTTGCCAAAATCAACACAGTAATCCAACACATCCTGCAACACACACACGTAGCCTGCTGCTGCTTACGTTTCTCCACACACGTTTTTAAACTTGAGAAGCTGAGACTGCTAACTGCTAACACTTCACCCAAAGTGATGGAATGATATTTTTTTCCCACCACTTCCCTCCTTCTACGACGGGGAATGACAAAGCTATCGGTAAAAGGTAAGGACTTTTTTTATTATTATTTTATCAACTGCATAGAATTTTTATTTTATTTTCAAATTAGCATGCCGCTAGGAAGCTTCGCGAAAAAACACCGTTGTTTTAAAATGTTTGCTAAATTATACGAGTAATTTGTTCAACCTACCGTTTTGGTTTTGAAGTCAAATAACGCACATTAGATGCCAACCTAACAGTCACTAGCTGTCGTCGGTTTATTTTGTCGCTGTGTTTATACTAGTATAACTAGTGTAATTATTGTTTTGGATTATAAACATATTCAAAGCTCTTACCTGTGTCACACCCAGCGGTATCCGGGTCTAACAGAGGTGGCGCCATGTTGATGTCATTGCCATTACAAACAAATCATATAATCAAAAAGCGGGTTCTACATTTTTATCATATTAGTGAGCTAGATTCCATTAATTGTGGCTTCGGATGTCACATATAAATTAAACAAAAAACAAAAAAACATTTTATAAACACCTTTATGAAGACTGAAATGGGCAACGGTGGGCAAAGTGTGGGATGGACCGTCATATTGCAGTGTTTTTCGTGTCTTCACATAATGACAATGTCAATTTTTGTCATCATTACAGTGTTTTACGATATTTACACAAACCTGAAATCACAACAAGCTAGATTTTTTTTCTGATGTTTTAAGTATTTTAACTCTTCAGACCAAAATGTGACAATTTAAAGTTTTGCTTGTGTACTTAATTACATAACCTTTCCCCGTGTTTAGAGACAGTTGAAGGGAAAACACCTGTAGGTTGTGATGGACACCTTGACACATGGCTGGACTGTGCGCACAGGGGACCAGAGAGGAGACGGTGAAGGTCTGTTAAAGCAGCAAGTCATTGAAAACAACTACACTACCAGCATGCATGTCCAGGATCTATTTCATGAAGATGCACAGGTGAAATATACTCTGTCACTGCTGACATCTTTTTATTTTCTATATTCCTGGAGGTCAGACAGTGTATTGATGAATATGTCAATCAGTTAATGGGAGTTTAAAAATATATGTTTGGTTGTTTTTTTGGGGGTTTTTTTGTTTGTTTGTTTGTTTGTTTTTATGTTGTTTTGTGCTTCCAGCAAACGACCAAGCCTTGGTGGAAGATTAAGCTGTTTGTGTGGGAGCCAGTGCTGTTTGGCACCTGGGATGGAGTTTTCACCACCTGCATGATCAATATTTTTGGTGTGGTTTTATTCCTGCGCTCTGGCTACCTGGTGGTGCGTTTACAAACATTTGACATTATTGGAGCATGTACAGTATTAATGTAGTGTTGATTTATGTGGCAGTCATCTCAATAATGTTGAAGTATCCACTTATTGTTTTCAGTCCTGTGTTTGCCTGTTTAGTTGTCCACTAGAGGGAGACATTTACAAAAAAAAACACAGTTGTTTCTGAGTGGCCTAAGATCACTTGTTGGGGAACCATTGCATAAAATAAATTTACAACTACGACAGGAAAACTACATGTGTTATTAATAGTGATAAATATAAACAACTTATATTAATATCTTAAACCTACTTTTCACATTTTGGCTCAGGTGTGTCAAAGCTGCAGACCTTTATTTTTAGCATCATCTATCATCATCAGTGTGTGTCACCCTGTCATTCTATGCTAATTACTGCAGTGTCATTTCAAAACATGATGACAATGCCTCAGTGATTTTTAATTGACACAGCTGCCTAGCTTCAGGTGGTCTGCCGTTCGGAGGGCAGATCTTTGTTACTCTGCGTGAGTTGCATATTATCTTAAATGACTTCCTTGTTTATATGTAGAGGCAGAGATTGTAGTCCAGAAAACGCATGTTGCTGTTTACAGTGGCCCTGACCTTAGCTGTGACCTGACCTTCCATCTTCAAAAATAACAGGGAGTAAACACAGAGAATAAGGGAACCAACATTTGACAATATACTCTGACCTGAGAACACTTTGAATTCATGTTAGGTTCATGTTTGGATCCTTTTGAAGTTAATGCTACAATGCAATAATTAGGAAAAGAAATTAGTGCTGAAAATTTAGAATTTGCTTATACACTTTTGAATAAGTTGGTCAAGTCTTTTAGTTTTCCAGGAATAGCCTTTTGTTGCTAACAGTACAGCAATAAATAATGAAAATGATCCACCAATATTGATGTTTTGTTTTCTTCTTTTTTTGAAAATCCCAGGGGAACACTGGTGTTCTACTCGGGATGCTGCTGGTTTCACTGGTTGTGCTGGTTGCATTAGTGACAGTGATGTCGGGGATCGGTGTGGGCGAGCACTGTGGTTATGGAGGTGGAGGAATCTACTCCATGATTTCCACTGTCCTGGGCGCCAGGGTTGGCGGCACAATGGGCCTCCTCTATGTCTTTGGGCAGGTGAGTACTGTATATGTGAAGGTGGTTATCTGCATACAGTTTGGGTGCAACATCTGTTCTAATATGTTATGTCGTGACTCTGCATCCACAGTGTGTGGCTGGAGCGATGTACATCACAGGTTTCTCTGAGTCTGTGGCTGATCTCCTGGGACTCCAGACTCAGTGGGCTGTACGTGGCATGTCGGCAGCAGTGCTGCTGGCTCTGCTGGGAATAAACCTGGCGGGTGTCAAGTGGATTGTCCGTCTGCAGCTGATACTGCTGGCAGTTCTCGCTGTCTCAACACTGGACTTTGTCATTGGGACTTTCACGCATCTTGACCCAGGTAGGATTGAAGGCCAAACCTGTTTATGTGAGGTGAATGGACATATACTTTGGGACAGTCGTTAAAATGTTTTATTTCAGATATAAAAAAAATCCTTCCAATTATGTGATATTTTGCGGAAATTCAAACAGGTCAGTAGGTAAGGCTAAGCTGTCAATATTTAAATGGATGATAACTGTGTTTCAGTTAGCTTCCTCGGTTTCAGGGTGACCCACTACGACCGCTAGGTGTCTCTGTCGTACCGTTTATGTAAGTCTGTGAAGTTTCATCTTGAGACGTCACCTCCACGGTTTTTGTATTATTTGAATAGATCGCTAATGACGATGTTTCTTTGAAGTATATGTAATGATCTTATTGGGCCTCTGACGTAATTACATATTGACACCTTTCCCGGTTATTAATAAGTAAAATGCTATATTGTTGTTTTACACAAAACCTGGTAATAACAGGTCTCACTGGTCCTTTCCTTTTTGAACAAAAGATTATTCTTATTCTTGTTTTTTTTGTAATGAGGACGTGCTGTCTTTTTAGGTAGCATATTCTTTATCTGCCTTCAGGAAGTCCTTCCCCACATTTCCTGTTCACACTGATTAGCAACGTCCTGTCTGGTGTGAAATTCTCTAGATATCAAGCCAGCGTTATGCAAACGTCGCAGCTTGCATGCACGCAAACCAGTTCACTTGAGTATGTAGTACAGAAAAAATATAAAAAAGTAATGTATTGCACGTATATGTACTGATATGTATTTAAAATCATTATTTGTTTTGCTTTTTAAGATACATCTACGCCTCCTGCTCCCTTCCGCATTACTAATATTCAGTTGCCAGAGAACTGTGGAGGAACCAGACGTAATGGCTCCTCCAGGTTTTTCCAATTAGGATCCCCTCTGTGTTTTGTGGTGACCTCATGGTTGGCAGTGGCCCAGCAGGTCCTTTAAGTGAAATGAAACGGCTCATATTGGCCTACGCTCTCTCTCTGTACACTGTGTAGAAGCCACTGCCAGAGTTGTGTGGTAACAGTTTGAAACCGTGTCCTCTGTGAATGCTTGGCAAGTACATCATGAAAATATACAGAGGTACACGGATACCACTGGCTGTACAGTAATACTGTAAACTATATACTGGCCTCTGCATGGAATATAGTTTTTACTAGGGGTTAAGTTTAAGAGACAGTTTCCTTTAACACATGTTTGACACACTATCACTGCACTGTGATTTGACCTTGGCCTGCCATGAAGACTGTAGACTTTAGAAGAGGTGAAGTAATTCAGCAGTAACATTTGGATAGTTGACACAAAGAGAATCGTGGAAAGTCGAGCTTAAAGCCCTTGCTGGAAGGTATTCCTGACATTTACTTTCAATGGCAGATGAGTGACTTGATACCAAAAGAGAAGTTCTGTTACATTGTGCACTAAACACAGTCTTTTTGCCGTCCAACCACTTCTATGTCTAGGGTTAGTCTTTTTGCCGTCCAACCACTTCTATGTTTTTCCTAACCCTGGTCGATGTAACATAAACAAGCATTCTCATGAAAGCAGCATGTTTAATAATGTTCAAATGACCAGAACGCACACATACAGACTGTATTTATTTATTAATTAAATGTCTGCTTTTGATTAATTTTTTTACAAAGGAAATGTTTATTTACACATCTTTATTGTGTGGAAAAATCCCACTTTAAAAAAAAAACACTCCAAGACTATCACTTTTTTAATTTCATGCGCCCCCTAGTAGTATCTCGAACCACACGTTGCGTATCCCTGATTAACAATGTAGAAAACAAAATATTTTCAAGAAAAGGAAATTGTAAAATCTCTAGGCTAAAAACATCATCATCACTAAGCCGTACGCTTGAGCAGGTTAACCTGTGACAGAATTATCAGAGACATCTGTCATAAACATAGTTTTTGCGGGTGATAATTACTTGTGTCAACTTTCTTTGTAATGTCTTTCAATGTAAATGTCCCCCCAACCTATAGATGTGGTATTTTATTACTGACATTAAGTATATGAGCACTCACTCGTAGACTGACCCTGTTTCCTCATATTCTCTGCTAAGTGACTTACGGTGACAAGTCTTTCCTGCAGAACTGTGAAAACTGCACTGCTCGTACATATAGAGCAGCTCACTATAGTTCGCCGTGCAGTTCCCAGTGGGAACAGAGTGGAGATTTTAAGGTTGCAGTGAAAGAGTAGCAGATGATTTAGTCTGTTCAGACCCCACCATTAAACTGCAGGCTGCTGTGATTGTCATTCTTACAGTTAAATGAGTTACGATCTCGCACGAACACGCACTACCATGTGTCCAAAGTTAAAGTTAAAGCCTATTTCCCACAGAACAGGAAAACCATAATGTGATCCATGGGTCTGGGGTTTAGGGTGTTTACCAGACTCACCCTCATTTTTGTCAAATGACAAGGGGAGAGAGCCGGAACTGGGATCTGAGCTTTGCTGCTGCCCTATAAGCCACCAAATTTTTACTCTGTGATCTTATTAAAACAAACCTCGAGATCATCAGTCATCTCAGCGGAGACACTTTACCCTGATCCATAATTTTCAACCATTTATTGTGGTCATTGTGTTGCAGAACAAGAGCTCAGATGCTCATGTAATCTGACTACACATTCCAGTCTGTATCAGAGGAATGCTGACCTCAGAGCCCCCCCCCCCAGTTCTCCCTGTGCCTTCACATGTGGGTCGTCTTTAGATTTAAGACTTATGAAAAGCCCATAAGGACACTGATATTTACAGATTAGATTAACAGCCTCCTTCATCCCAACATGACTTATGTGGTTAAAAAATATTATTTATAAATACGATTTTGGTTCTGATTTATCTACATTAGGACTTCATTTCTGCTGCATCTATGTTTTAAATGCAAAGCCACCTCTTTACTCTGCAGAATTCTGGTCCTTTTTATTATATTCTGTGTCTGCAAATTAATCACAACCGGATGGTGATGCTGACAATGTGCAGAGCTTCAGCTGTTTGTGGAGCTGTACACCTCCAACAAAGTTATGATGATTATATTACAACAGATGCCCATTTGAAAACAGGTTATCAATTTAAAAAAACCTAAACTCATATTTTGTTTTTTTAGTCCAAACATGTCATTGGACACGTGTAGAAAGTGTACAGTTGGTCACACGGGAAGGGAGGTGGGGTAGGGCCAGTATAATAAGGCTGAGTTAGCAGCAAATGTAATGGTAAACATTAAAACACTGCTGTTACTTTGTACATGGATATAAAAGCAAAACGACTAAAATTGTGTTTCCAGGATCAGTTTTCCTCATTAATAGGTGAACGCCCTGCGCTGAATACTCAGAAAGTTGGAGTTTGTTGGATGATGGAGCATGATGTTGTAATACGGGTGGGGAGCCTGTGGTGCAGACTTAGACACTGACTTCCATAGATTTGTTGGGTTCTGATTGTTTGCACAGAGATGGATCTCAGTGGGTCATGGAGTCGAGGCTCCTACTGCTGTTTGATGTCAGTGTTTTGATGCTTCCTTACATTCCTGCGCAGAAAAATGTGCGCACTTAAGTTAAAGTGGTGCACGCGGCTCTTTTTTTTTGGTTTTGGCTTTTGTCACAAACAAAAGAACAGAGGGTTCACATTCACTGTCACTCTCAGACTCGCCGTCTCACTCGTTCTCATTCTTTCTCTCAAACTTGGAAACGACTGAGCTTCTGAAAAGGGCGGCGACTTCCTTTTGGATAAACATGTCATTAATCTGACAGAACACATTCTTTCCCATCACAAGATTACCAAGGGGGAAATGTCCGGTGTTGTAACATAGGCGGGCCCTTCACACTGCAGGGTTTAAATGGCCCCCATCAAACACAACAGCACAACCAACTGTTCCATCTTTGAACATGCGTATTTTGTATTTCAAAACTGAATGCAGTACACTTACTGTGTAATGATACAGTCCCTGCATCTTGATATAGCAAGTGATTTTGACTTGTTTACTTTCCTCTCTTTCAGACCATGGGTTTACAGGTTATTCAGCTGAGCTGCTCAGCAACAACTCCAAACCAGATTACAGCACAGGAGAAAACTTCTTCACAGTATTTGGTGTCTTCTTTCCTGCAGCTACAGGTGGACGGACCCTGACTTATTTATTTGAATGCAAAAGAAAATCTCATGCACTGACATCATGTCAATATGTCACTTGTTTTTGCATGCTTTGGGACGAATAATTATGATTTTTGTGTTTGTGTGTGTGTGTGTGTATAGGCGTAATGTCAGGCTTCAACATGAGCTCAGATCTTCAACGGCCCGAACACAACATCCCTGTGGGAACGCTGACAGCTGTCTTTACCTCGTATGGCAACACTCCAGTCACACAAACACAAATGTTATGTAAAACACACAAAAAATGAGTTCTACGTACAGTGAAAATGTTTGTATGAAGAGTTAACAACAGTAGACTGTAGAGACTCACATACTTCCAGCAACTATAGCTACTTTCATATAATTGATGAATGCACCAAAAAAAAGAAAAACGTTTGTGGTTCCATGGGCTTCAAACCACATATTTCACTTTTATCTCACTTTACCACAAGAGTATTTTTAGGTAAAGCTCCCTGAATTGTTCCACAAGTGTATAATTCACTGAAATTGCTACTCTTCAGAGGTTTTAAATTTACTTTCTCCTGTCTGGTTTTCCTTATCAAAAATTGAACCTTTTTTTTTTAAATTATTATTTCAATTTCCAAGAGAGTGAAAAATGTAGCCTTCCAAAAGTGGGAGTCACTTGTTGTGATGTGATTGCATAGTTTTCCTATTATTAGTTAGGTGGTTGGTAATAATTCTGTGTGCTGGACTGTCGGTGACCCACAGGTGGTTCCTGTATCTGGTCTTTGCCTTCCTCCTGGGGGCCATTTGCAGTAGAGAGGCTCTGCGCTATGACTTCTTGATCGCAGAAAAGGTAACCTCCACTCTCTGTTTCCATCCTGCTCTGTGGGAAAGGCTGCATAGCAGCGGGGCAAAGGTCAGGGGATTCCCCACACAGGTTTTTTTTTTTACCTATGAATGAATGAGATATAAAGCCTCTTACACCACTTTGTTGCAGGGTACAAATGAATTTGGAATTTTAATAAAAACCTGTCCCATTAAAATAAAAAAACAGTTTTACTACATTTTAAAATAAAATTCATCAAAATTATATATTATTATGTGTTATTATCAGGTATTGTAAACTGCTAGTTGAAGTTTCACTGTATTCAATATTCATGATCTATTTCTTTTTCAGTAAAATACTCATATAAAATTAAGCTGGACTTCATCAATGAGTCACTTTATAGACTGTGACTCCATCAGTTGTCAGTTCTGATTGTTTTCATTAGGATCTGGCTGCAGCGGAACTGAACTGGGCGTAGCTGTTGCAGGCACCCGACCTCACCCCATCCTCTTCCACCCTGTGTTTGTTTTCCTTCTTCCTCCAGGTCTCCTTGGTGGGTTTCCTCTTTCTGCTGGGCCTCTACATCTCCTCCCTGGCTTCCTGCATGGGCGGCCTGTACGGAGCACCCAGGATCCTCCAGTGCATTGCCCAGGAGAGGGTCATCCCTGCTCTGGCCTGTCTGGGAAATGGGGTGTGTTAAAATTCATAGAGAATTTGTTTTTGTTTACATCAGAATATGTTCAAATTAATTTGAAGGCGACATTACTGTACCAGGAACCTGCCAAAAGTGCTGCTAAATGTATTGATTTTAGATCCTGAGCTTCCACTTTCACCTTCATTATGGCTCCCAGGTCTAAGTCAGACTCTTCTGATTTTATGTCCTAGATCATGAGTGTAGATTTTGTGTTAGTGTAGGTGAGTGACATAGGTACAGTATGTGGGTTCTTGCACTGTAGGAGGGGAACTCAGCCATAAGTCAGTGACCTGCCGTGTATGCTTTTATTTCAGTAAGGTATTGAGTTGACCGTTACAGCTTAATAAACTTCATGGCCTGACTAAATCATTAGGTAAATTAAATCATTAAGTAATATGTTCAACAGCAGCAATGTCAACATTGTTTGGCGAAGAGAAGGTCTGTGATGACAACCAGAAAGTCAACTAAAAAAAACTGACCAGACGGACAAAGTGATATTTCTGGGCTCATTCCACGTAAGCGAGCAGGCTACCAGTCACTTCTGCTACACACACACTGTCACGTTGACGTCCTGACCTTGTCCACCCCAGTTTTCCTCAAACTTCCTAGTATGGCAGCACTCCCTGACCCCTCAGCGGGTTGGAATGAGGCCCTAGACATCTTGGCCCAAATCAAAGCATCAGAACAAACGCAGGAAGGGCGACGGGCTGGGCCCAGCTCTGCTGTGTGATCTGGAGGGCCGCCAGGCACAATGCAGTGCTTGTTAAACGGTGTGATAGGACCTAGGAAGTGCAAGCAAACTGGGTACAAAACCACATGTTGAGACAATGTCTCTGTTGGACAAAGGACTCTGTGTTTGAACTCTTGCTTTTTAATGATTTTAACAATGCCAGATTAATCTTTGTTTTTTTTTTCATTTCTCGGTAATGTGTATTTCCAGATGTTAAAGTCAGTCGGCTGCTCACGTTACTCATTACTATATGTTTTGAAGTTACTGCGACATGTATTAGACAGACGCTCACAGTGAAGGAATTTGCATTAGTGCTGAAGCAGGACTGACTTTCTCATGAGTCTCGTGGGTCTATGTTAGTTTAGCACGTGTGAGTAATGGCAAAGTATGACCTCGACCAATCAAAGGCCGCAGGAAGACATGAGAATATTATTTTGTCAAACACTACACTACAAACATAATCTCTGCTATCATTGACTTGTTCAACAGAAGAAAAGGGAAAAGAAATTATTTTAAAAAATGTGTAAAGTGTGTACATACAGTATATACATATGTACATATATATGTACATATGTATATACTGTATGTATATATTTATGTTTATGCAATTACATGGTAGTAAAACAAGTTATACATTGTCTCATGCTCCTGAAGTACAGGCAGGTCAATCAGGAACAACAACAACTCTTTCATTTGTTACTAGTGCAGAATGAGGCCAGGTATTGTTCTGTAGGAAACCCCACAGAGACCCTTGATTGAAACAATCAAGTCTTAAATTTCAATGTGACCTTAAGTGCCCGACAGGATAACTGTTATTTTCAAATGTTTGCTGAGCAACAATTGAATCACAGTTACTGGACTTGGCATTATTACATATATATATATATATATATATAGCAACAAAAAAAATCAATTAACTTTCTTCTTCTTATGATCGGGCAGCAGAGAGTCTGAAATAAAAGCCACATATGTGTTTAAAAAAAATGAACTGTGATTTAACCCCCACATTTGTCTGTGACACTCCCTTGCCTGAACAGCTTCTCAAAATTAAAATAAAGTCTGACAGTAATGGGTGGTGCAGTCCACAGTTTACTCAATGCAACAATTCAAGCATGAAGGGAAAATGATGCTTGAGGTCATTTGTATTTTCAGATAAAGGAGACATTGGGTGGGATGCAGCGGTCACTAAATGTGCTGTGCTTTACGCTCTTGTCTGCAGAAAGGTCCAAATAAAACACCGGTTGCAGCAATCTTCCTGACCAGTCTCCTGACCATGGCCTTCATCTTCATTGGCCAAGTCAACGTCCTAGCTCCCATCGTCACCATCAACTTCATGCTCACCTACAGCTTCATTGACTACTCTTACTTCAGTGTGGCCATGACCGTCCAGTTGCAGGACAAAGAGATGAAGGATGTCCTCTCTCTGTCCAGAAGCAAGCGACGTACGTCCACCAGCAGAACCAGACCTCTTATTGACGTCCCTCTACCAAACTATGGAAGTGGAGGCCAGAGTCCACACAATAAAGGCACTTTATCAGAGTTCACCAAGGACATGAACCAGATCTTCCCACCTTTATCAGACGGAGATACCGGTGCTGAGAAGACCCCCTCAGTGCACGAGTTGAGCGGCAGAGGCAAAAGCAGAAAGCCTACTGCGAAGCAGACACTGATGGACAGCTTTGGTTTGGACCTCAACAGCAATGTGTTCTCAGAGGAGGGAGGAGACCAGACGGGCCCAGTTCCATCATGTGACAAACCCGATGTTCAGCCTGGAAGTGGAGTGGACGAAATGTCCACAAAACCATGCCCTGTAGAGCAGGGTTTTTCACATCACCCTAATAACAACAACATCAACAACAACACAGGTGACTTGCTTTGACTGTCAAACCAAAGAGATCCATATTTTTGTTCTAAACTTGTCATAAAATATTTCAGGCGTTCACAGTAAATCTGAGCCCCAAACAACAGACATCAAACCCATCCCTGAATCGTTCTATACAAAGTTCTGCAATCACTGGATTGCTCTCATTGGGGTAAGATGAATTACCCGTAAACATCTACAATCTTCATATGAATACTTTATCTTACTGCTCAGTGTAATTTATGTTGTTTCTTTTCTTACAGGCGCTGAGCTCTCTAATGATTATGTTTGTCATCCAGTGGGTCTATGCCGTAGCAAACATAGTCGTCGCCTTGTTACTTTTCTTTTACATTGGAAAAGCAAGTCCTGGACTTCCCACAGGTGAGTGTTCCATTTCCCATTACAACCGTGGAGGGTTGGGTCATGGAGGGCTGTGGTGTAAAAATCTGTGCTATATTGCATAAACTGATTATCTACATCCCAAACATGTCAAGCAGACTGTTTTATAAATATTTTCAGAAATATTTGAAACTGTCCACTGCTAATCTTTATGGCTAAGGCAGGCATGGGGAAACTATGGCCCATTTAGCTGTTTGATCCTGCCCGCCAAACGTTTCCAAATTATATAATTTATTTTTATTATTATACTTCTGCCTTTTCCCTGCAATACCCACGTTTCCCCAATAGATGGCATAGAAAATGCTAAAAGCATTTTAGCCTTTATGCATGACCTTTACATGTAATTTATCTTAGTTCACATGAACACTCCATCTATCTGCTCCTGACCCAGACCCCTGTTCGATTTTAGGACAACTGTGGCCCGCGACTGGGCTAAGGCCTGCAACCTGTGGCTCCTGGGCCACATGTGGTTCTTAAGCCATTTTTTTAGTCAGACTCTTACAGTGAGACCTCTCTGACTTAATGAGACAGATCCACGCTTCATTTCCTCCATGACTGTGACCTGGTGACACGCTCAGACCTACTGCTGAGAGTTTCAGTTATGGTCTTTCTCAGTCTCACTGCCTGACGGCTGGCAGCTGTTGTGGCTTATAGGATTTTTTGAATAGCTGAACGGGACACCCTGCATCTGCATCTATGTCATCGCTCTGCAGCGTGCCAAGAGTTGCGAGCGGTCAACACTTGTTCCAAGGATGATGGATGACATTTTATCACTTACTGTAGAAAAAGGAAAAATAAACTTTTGTTTTACCTGCAGGTACGGCAGCTCGATTCAGCTTCTTCACATGGCTGAAATCCACAGTACAGAGTGTTTGCAGGTATTTCTTTTGCATTAAAAGCTATTTATTGATAGTTTGTTTTTACAATGTCAGTCCCTCCAACTCTTGTTTGTCTCGTTCAGGGGTAAAGGATCTCCCCAGGAAGAGATCGTGGTGACACCCTCTATCTCTGGAGTAGGACTGAAAACCAGACAGCTGACAGAGGAAAACGCTGACTTTGCCACACGCCACCGTTGTCACAAGTCTTCATTTATGGCAGGCAAAGAGATGCAACCACAGTTCCCCTGAAAGTATCGCAAACGCTGCCTCTGTTACACGTCACATCGCTGACAGCTTGAAACCACATTCTCTGCCTCAAACTCATAACTTTCCCTCAGGTCGGACTCTGCCCTCACATTTTCTCAGAAAGAGATGTAGTCACTTTCACAAGGTGCTTGAAGCTAATCGAATGATTTTCTGAAAGTGCATTGAAGAGAAAAAGAAAGTGATTTAGATAAATCTAACAGTTATGTTTTCTCCCGTAGTTGTTCGAAGAATGAGAACTAATCAATCAATTATGTCTTGTCGTACTTTGAGTATGACTTATATGACTATACAACAGTTAAAGTGCATTTATCTTTATGTTTTCCCTTATATTTTGGTTCGAATTTCTAAGGTTTTTCATGTAGGCAAACTGAAACTGAGAAATTAAATACGGCTTTCAAGATAAATTTAGAAAATATTGAAATATAAAGAAATTAATTGTATAAAGTGTTAATTATGAAATAATAAAATAATACATTTATTAGCTAACTTCTTTGAGGTTTTCCCATAATAAACTTAAATTACAGACAGTAATTTACCTAAGTTTTGATGGAGAAAAGTAAATATATGTCTCAGGATCACCAGGATAAATAATATTGACAATTATCAAAAAAATCTTCAAAGAAGAAAAAATACATCTTTTGTGCAGGGAAACTCTTCGGATTATGTTTAATTCATACAGAAAATTATGTGTATTTATGGCAAGGTTATTAGGTCAGCAGCTATTGGTTTATAGTTGTTTCTTAATTACAGTGTTCTAACACTGCAGTATGTTTATGGTTTCACCTTATGTTCTTTTGTGTTGTGATGCATCTCCTAGTTTACAATATCGACTGCTGCACATCAGTAACAAAGCTGTGAAAACCGCAGCCCTCGGTTGCTGTGTTAGCAACAGGCACAAACTGTTGCAGTAGACACCAGTACTAAGTTTCAGTCGTCATTTACTTGTAATTGTAAAAAAAAATGACACCTCTGCTGTCATTCGCGTTGGTTTGATAACGTACACATACTGACTAAAACATTTCTAGTTAGTTCTCTGAGCTGTACTACATATTACTGACAACAGGGGGCGTTTGTTGAATTACAGTTGCTTTGACAGTTGTATTATTATAGTGTAGAAGTTTTTTTTTACTAGAACATTCGTTATGAAGGTAGTTTGATGCCGTGAAGACATTATGTATATCTTTGGTACGAATTATATTTTGAGGTACAAGTCTGAGATGATAGTCTGGTCAGAGTTCAGCGTTGGTGAAGATTTGGCGTAAGAAATAGGGTTCGGCTAGTTTTTTGGGTTGGGTATTCCACTAAAATATTTGTATGTAGTTTTCACAGTAACTGAGAGATATATGTGTTGTGAACAGTTGTATTATTATAGTGTAGAAGTTATACTATATTATTATAGTGTAACTGAGAGATATATGTGTTGTGTACTGTACATGTTTGTTCTTATTTTCGGACATTTTGACTTAACAAGTAGCTGGCCTCCCGGAACATTTAAGGTTTTATTTATTTATTTTGAAAGAACAGGGTAATCGTTGGAGTACATTTTGGAATTAAGATTGGATTTTTATAAGGTATCATAGCGGGAACGTATGTGTGTGATATATATGTTAGCTTAGCTGCACTTGTGGGGACAGTGTTTTGGGTAAAAATAACTCTTTATGGGATTTGGGGGGCTCTATTTTCTTGTGGTTTTTGCCATAGGACCCCCACATAGTGAGAGGGTATTTGGGGTTTTATGTGTAGTTTGGCGTTTTAGTTAGGATTGGAGTCAAATTAAGGATTAGCATTAAGCATATATTTGGAAGAGCTAAAACTTAAAGCAGCCAGGGAGTGCATTATGTCTGAGTGAAGTTTCCGCGGAACACACACAGACAGACAAAAAAAAACCAATGTCTGTCTGAGTGTGTGTGCTGGCTTGTGTGTGTAAGTGTGGGAGGAGCCCTCTCTGATAACAGTCCCCAGTCTCCCCTCTCTTATCTTCCGTTCCCCGCCGTCCGAGTAGCGGATCCGATCCGGACCTGCTTGAGGATTTAACTAATTCTTCTGAAAGTTCAGTGAAGGCTCAGCCGTCCCTCCCATGGTTTCCACGGCAGGCTCACCCGACATTGACTCGACTTTGGGGAATCTATCGGCGGCTGTTTTGTGGTCTTAAGAATCATGGAAACGTGGTCTTTGAATCACGTCCTCGGCTGGTCTCTGTCGCTCCTGCTCTTGGCTCTGCCGCGGCCCCTCTGGGCGCAGACCCCCGGCAACGGCAGCTGGGATCCCGCGGGATTTTATAATTCAGCCGCCACGGATGACGTGAGCAGCACGGACAACAACGCCACCTCAAGTTTATTCTCCAGCGAGAGTTTATCTCCATCACAGAGGAGCCTCCTGCTCTCGCACTCTGCTGAAACACACACCACCACTGTTGGAGACTTGGGTAAGAAGATGAGTTTGACACAGGCCTGCACTAACAAGTGTTACCGTAATACACTCTGTTCTATTAACGTACCTCTAAAAGTCGTTTTTCTCTTTCGTGTGTTCGCGAATTCACGTAATTTTTTTCAAATGGGGAGGACGTACCTCAGGGGAAGACAGATATATTTAAATTGTTTTCAATACATACAATATATACACACAGTATGTATATGTGTGTGTGTGTATACACATATAATTTTAAAAAGTAGATTAAAATATCATAAAACATTCATTAAAATGAAAGTCTAAAAACTTGTTTTTTATGAACAGTCAACTATTTAATTTTATTACCCACCCCCCACAAAAGTTCTCCCTACTACCTGAATGGTTTGACCCACTGACTCACTTGTCAGTCATTGCCACTTTTTCCAGACCATGTCTGGCAAAACATACATCAGTTTAAAATAATAAATTATAATAGGCTTTTTCTCAGGATCTCATTTCCTGTCAAATACAAGCGATAATAACACAGTGCTATGTTTTACATTGCTTTAGAGACTTGAAAAACAGAACCAATTAATTATCATAAACGTTTATCAGTATAATCATAATATTTTAAACGGATTCATATTATAATTTAAATTATAACTAAAAACAAATAAAATCTTTAGCACACGGTTTTGGGAGGTAGGCATCAAAATAAGAACATAATTTAATCATAATTCTAAAATTGACAGGGACAAAATTTGATGAAAGTATAAAGAGTATAACATCATCATCTTATCCATCTAACCATATAGTTTATATTAAAGGGACAGTGTACAATTACAACATTAATTCTCTAAGTATATACTGTATGTCACAATGTTGTCAGGTATTTCTGAGTACCACAATCTCCTTAAACCATAGAAGGCTTAAAGAGATAATCTCCTTAAACCATAGAAGGCTTAAAGACTTTAGAGATAAAAAGCTAACTTCATAGTTTCACAACATAAGGAAACAATTACATAAAGCATCTAACAGTTACTACTTTAGCATAAAACAGCTAGTTGCAAATAGCTATAGCTAATAGCTGATTACTACATTAGCGTACAAGTGTGTTTAACATGCGAGTTGCAATTGACTCTTAAGTTAACTCATGAGAGGGAATGTGCCAAAGTAGAAGTATGAAGTTAGCCTAACTGTAAATCATTTATAGTGTTTGATGTGACTAAATACCACATTAGCATAATTGCTACTATATATTCCTTTAAGCATGAGGAACTGTGATGATAGCGTTTTTTTTTATCTTGTTTTTTTAAAAGATGAGTGACCACATATTGAGTACGGAACATTTTTCCAAAGTTGTTGACATTCTGGTCCATTTCCCCGTCTACATTACAGCAGAGTTAGCTCTAAAAATAAAAGCCACGTTAAAATATATCACCAGTGGTTTGTGGTAAATTGGTGGTAATGCAGTGCCTGTATGTACAACCCACATGTGGTGTACATACAGTTGTGTCATAGCAGTAAGTCACGGTGGGAGTGATTTAGTTCCTATTGGATTAAATGTCATAGAAAAATGTTATTGCTGTTTTACTCATACTCAAAACTTTATACGCTCAGTCTGCAGTAAAGTGAAATAACCTTTAAAGACAGTTATTTCAAGGAGAACTGCAAGAGAGAAAAAACAAGTGTTTAACATCTGTCCACAGTAAAACTCCACAGCAGTGTCCTGACATACAGCGTGAATATATTGTATATGGTCACATTTATATACAAGCCTGACTAAAACAGATGTGGAACAGAAGTGAGTAAGACGCAGAGACTACTGTGTTAATATGAGAGCGAGAGTGATAAACAGCGGGGAATCTGGGAGTGTCCTTCACTTTTTTGCCAACACCACGTTCCAGTCTGAGTTCTGCTGCCCCGGCTGAATCCAGAGAGAACAAAATAGAGAAAGAAAAAAAAAGGTGGAAGTGTGAGAAAAAACACCAGTCTGGTGGCCCAGTTCTGGACTCCCAGTAGATGGGGTGTTAAGTTAGCCAGAAGCCAAACTGTATGCCTTGGGATTACATCTTATATGAATATATTTACTACGATATATCAATTTATTCACTGTAAGTGACAAGGAAGATGGACAGGGTCAGAATGACAGAAAAGCCTGGATTGATCAGATCTTGGAGATTAATGGAGCAGAGGATGTTGTGGTGATTGGAGATGTATTTTGAGAGAAGTTGATTTATTAGACATGGAGCTGCCAGGCAGCAGGAAATGAAGAAGATTCCAGACAAGAGTTATAGATGTTGACCATGAGGACGTGACAATGGTTGCTGTAACAGGTGAAGAGCTCCAGATTAGGCTGAGATTAATGTGACTTTGGTGACCTCTAGAGGAGGCAGAAATACTTTTCAATACTTGATAACAAAGTAAAATGTGATTAATCAGTGACCTTTTGGTTTACATCATTGGTGTCACTTTTACATGTGGATAGCTGGAATCCATTTCCTTTAAATAGTCCATGAAAACATGATTATGGCTTCTTTTTATGAATACACAATGTCAAAAAACTGCTTAGACTGAGAACAATATAATATCACATAATATGCAGTATATTGTAATATAACTCAGTACTCACACAACATTCATCAGCTTAAAATAACACCATACTAAGTTGTGGTTTTTAGATTCTTGTCTGTCCTAAAATGTTACTAGCAAGTTGCAAAAATTAGAAAAATAAAACTTTTTATTAGTTTTTCTAGTAAAGAAAATTTCAAAATATACCAATCACAATAGTCTACATTTCTTTGCACTTCTGCTTGTGTGTGGGTTACTCTTCTGACTAAACAATGAAAACAGACAATGAACGCACGCCCACATCCATGCTTGACAGTTTACTGCTGGTGCCTTGTGCTCACTCAGCTTTAGGAAGGAAATGACCAGAGTCCCTGCAGGGACCATCACGGCCATATTTAGGACTTAAAGCCTTTGTTAGAGTAGATGAGCTGACTGCCAGTTGTTCTCCACCCAAAATGATTGACCCTGCAGTTGCAACAACAGCAGCAGAAGGCAACATAGTGCTTTGACGGGGTCTGAGTCTTTGCAGACTGCACGAGGGCTCCCTCTGGTGGCCATCGTGTGTGAAAGTTGGACTGTTGTGAAGTCAACGACAGATAGTTGAATATACGTTGTTAGAATAGACGTTTGGTCTGGACAACGTCATGGACGCATGCTGAAACAAAAAAAAGACTTTAATACAGAGAGATGTGTCCCACTGTCTCCCCCATTTTTTTCATTCACTTTTTCCTTCAGCAGGTTTTTTTGCTCCATGTAACACTAATGTTAGATCATATTTTAGTAATTTGAAACTCTTTGTGACTCTAGGTGTTTTACTTGCTATATTAATAAGTTGCAATGTACAGACTAATTTCCACATTTCTTTCTTTTTTGTTTTGTTCCCACAGACAGTGAGCAGACACAGACGTTCACAGAAACAGGCAGCAGGTCACATGGTCCGTCTACTGAGCCACTAATGTCCAGCCTGTATGTAGCCACCACTGAGTCCAGCAGCAGCGTGAGCAGCAGCAGCAGTAGTAGTAGCAGTAGCAGTAGCGATAGCAACGCCTGGACAGATTTTATTAATACAGAACTGGCACCAGATGGTCCCCATACCTTATCCTGGGAACCCAAAGGACACACAGATGTCACCAGCCAGCAAAAGGAGAACCCAGTGTGGCAGAAGCTTGCAACATCATCAGCATCACAGACAGACCTCCACACCGACAGCACCTATACCTCCACCTCCATAAGTCGAGTCGGAGAGAGGACCCTGCTGTCAGTCACTTCGTCCTCCTCTTCTTCCTCCTCCTCCTCGTCCTCCTCTTCTTCATCCTCCTCTTCTTCCTCCACTTCATTTTCCTCCTCCAGCAACAACACCTCCTCTGCTTTTACGAAGGACTCCAACTCCTCTCAGCCCCCTCCTGAAGACTACACCCACAGCGCCTCACCCACTGGTGGTGACAGCAGCAACACAACAGACTTGCTCATCACCAACTCCGGAGGAACCCAGAGTTTAACTCGGCCTCCCAGCAACGCACAGAAACAGCCGACCTCCACATCTGAGGAGAAATCCGACTCTACGCCACCACCTCCTGTCATGGAGCTCAGCACTGACCACTCTGACCTCTCCCTTTCATCCACACCTCCTCTCTTGTCGACAGCAGCAGCTGGTCCTACCGAAGTCTCGGGAACAGACCGGGATTTAAGCTCTGATGTAAGGACTTTCACCGAGTCTTCCACTGCAGACCACAGCCTCAGCACACAGAACCAAGAGAGCACAGAGAGGCTGCCATCCCACACACCAGAGGACAACACAGTCCAGGGTGTCACCACAGCGCCCCCTACTGTCCGTAGTGATACTTCTGAGATGGATCACACTTCATCCTCGGTTCCTGTGATCTCCCTCCACACCACTTCAGTTCCTGATACTGAAAGGTAGAGATTTGATTTTTCAAACTTTTTTTCTTGCATTTTTCATTTTAAATAATGTTTTTTGGAAATAGCCAGATTTGAGAATGTATGTTGTGGGACAAAAACATCATCTTAGAATCAGTTACTAAGATAATTCAATTTTTTTAAACACAGTGCAATTCTTTAGATCACCAAAAGATGGCATTAGTTTTTTGGGGAGATGTTACAATTACATAATCATATTATATTTAAACTGTTCGAAGAAACTGACTTGTCTTCTATGTTTAAACATGCTCAAAATATCCTAACAACACAATCTAATGTCTATGTATTTGACACCCTCTATAAAAATGTTTTTAGTTCATTTGTTATTTCAAAATGACTGACAGTCTTTTTTTGCTTGGTGATAGTTTTTGTGTTGGTGTTAGTTTTGGACTAAGTCAGTATCTGAAGACTTAAAGCAACATTACTTTGTGTTGAATACTGTATCATAGTACTTTTTTAAATTAAACTGACCATTTGTGTACATTTCTACTTTTACAGATCAACAGTTACGGAGGACACTTTCAAAGGCACCACTTCCTCTCACACTACCAGCCAAGCCACGACCTCCCCACCTGCGGTCATGACCAGGTCCAGCAGCGTCTCAAGTGACACCACAACAAAGTCTAATAATGAGGCCACTGTCCTCTATACTACGGCCTCCATCGCCGTCTCCACCACCGACCTGCACACCTCAGCCGTGCAGCCCACTCAGCATGTTTCACCGAGTCAGACCCAGAGGCCCGTCACGGGGAGCGTCAAACCCACCGACATCACCGACCTGCAGGAAGACACAGCCACTGTGGGCGTTACCACTTCTCCCAGTCCAACCACAACCACAACCGCAACCACAACCTTATTAACCCAGCCCCACAGCACCCCCACCAGGAGTACAGAGGTTCTGACCACCACTGACACGCAGACACACAGAGGAACCACAGAGTTGCTGGTGACGACGTCACCGACCGCATCCACAAAGACAGTCCTGCTGCCTCCACCAAGTGAGTTGACGACACTCGTCCTGAGTGGACCAAAAGTTTAAATAAAAGTAAAAAATCTTAAAAGGGTGATTTGCAAACTGATAAAATGACAGCTGATCTTTTTTGCCCCCCACCCCCGCAGGAGACCCATGTTTGTCAAACCCCTGTCTGAATGGAGGGATGTGTGTGACTTATAGAAGAAATCAGTTCACATGTCAGTGTCAGCAGGCCTGGACTGGAGCAACCTGTAACCAAGGTAAGAGTTCCTTCTTCTCTCCTCTCCTTTAATTTTTTATTAATTTAATGAGTTTAATTCAATACTAAAAACTCTTTAATTTTTTATTAATTTAATGAGTTCAATTCAATACTAAAAACTATTTTCATTTTCATGTTTTTAAAGCAAATAAGTAGAAAACACTGGTCTCTTTTTGTGTGCACATTGTACAGTAGTTGCCATAGCAACCGACCCATTTATGTTTATTGTAAATAATGTCCCTTCACTCTGTGTCCAGATGTGGATGAATGTGAGCGAGACCCCTGCCCGCTGGGCTCCAGGTGTGTGAACACACGGGGTTCTTTCAGCTGTGAGTGTCCACTCGGCTTTGACCTTGAGGACGGACGTGTCTGCACTAGAGGTAAAAAACACTCTAGGATGAACCATAAACCAGTATGAGTTTTTTATTTTCTCCAGTAATTTCCTAATTTATTTCTGTCCTTTTTTTCCACAGCAAAAACATTTCTGGGAACATTCAGTTTGAAGCGACAACCACACGACACTGTTTTGGTCAAGAGCGCCACCATGCATGAGATACAGAGAGAGATTATTCAGCTGGTAGGAACCAGTTCACATCACTCTGCCTGGTTTTACATGTTGGTTTAAATGATACAAGTTCTCTTCTCTTCTTTGCTGCAGCTCAACGCCTCATTATCCGTTCTCCACGGTTACAGCCGCTCTACACTCAGTCGGAAGTGAGTTCCTGCATTCACAGAACTATTTCACTTTGTGGCTGCTATGTTTGAAAACCAGAAAACAGTAAAAATGTAATTTAATTAGAATAAAAAACAAAAATTCTATGAGTTTCAACACTGACCTTGTCTCAACTCCCTGCAGAGAGGAGGACGGGGTGCACATCTCCGTTGTCAACATGTTTTCCATCTCTACTCAAGTGACGAGTGCTGAAGTCTACAACAGCATCCAGATGTTCCTGAGCAACTGCAGCTCCTCCACGACCCACTGCCGCATGGTCCTGCATCACCAACTTAGCTATCACGGTAAATAATTATGCTGTGGCTCTTACAGCTGAGGGGCAGAATGTGGCCTGTAGGAGGTAAAAGATGGGGCTATTGGAGTGTTACAGTTATGTGTTGAGCAACAACCAAAAATATCCCCTCTGCAAAAATTAGCCCTCTGCTACAGTGTTAATCACTAATAATTATGGCTGTCTGATATTAACTTGCCGATATTGTCCAAACACTTGATTTCCGTTTCACCTTCACGTCTGACTGTGTCGACGCTGTGTTGCAGCGGAGAGTCTGTGTGCAGCTCAGAGGACTCAGTGTGACGTGGAGCGCTCCAGCTGCACGGACAGCAGTGGCACCGCCTACTGTCAGTGTCATCAAGGATACTACAAACACAATCCTGATGACCTGTCCTGTCTGGGTCAGTCCTGTCTGTCTGTTTATGATAGTTTGCCTTGATGCTAAATTGCTGGTTATTTTTTCAAACATTTTAAACTAATTTTGTTTTATTTATAGAATGTGGCGATGGCTTCAAACTAGAAAATGGAACCTGTGTTCCGTAAGTTCAGCTCAACTTTTTGAATTTTTTGTAAAGATATTGTACCTTCCAGTGTTACCACAGTGGTTTTAATGGAATTTTATCCCTAAAAGATATTGTACCTTCCAGTGTTACCATAGTGGTTTTAACGGTTGCGATTTTATCTTTTTTCAGATGTACTTTTGGATTTGGAGGATTCAACTGTGGGAATTGTAAGTATGATGAAGACACATGGAGGAAGTTATTTAATCATTATTTGTTCACTATATTGTAAACATCCAAGATTTTAATTTTTTAATTTTTTTTTATTCACAGTTTACAAGCTGATAGCTGTGGTGGTGTCACCTGCAGGGGGTGCTCTGCTTCTCATCTTCATCATTGCGCTTATTGTAACATGCTGCAAGTAAGTCTGCAGACGTTGTACTGCCATGTTTATTCTATTACAGTAGGATGATTCAAAAGATTTTTAGAGATTTTTTTATCTAAAGAATAACATTAATTTTTTTGGTTTTTCTTTTTAGGAAAGACAAAAATGACATCAATAAGATCATCTTCAAAAGTGGAGACCTCCAGATGTCTCCGTATACAGACTTTACAAAAAACAACCGCATATCCATGGAGTGGGGTCGGGAGACCATTGAGATGCAGGAGAACGGCAGCACCAAGAACCTGCTGCAGATGACAGATATTTACTACTCTGTAAGAGCCACTTTGAACTGCGCTGACAAAACACTGCATTATAGATTTTATGTATAAAAAAACATGCTTCTTTATCATTTCTTCTTCTTCCCTCAGCCTGCTCTGCGTAACTCGGACCTGGAGAGAAATGGACTGTACCCGTTCACAGGTCTGCCCGGCTCTCGCCACTCCTGCATCTACCCGGCCCAGTGGAACCCGTCCTTCATAAGTGACGATTCACGAAGGAGAGACTACTTCTAACATCTTCACCCCCCCCCCAAAAAAAGTGCACATGCTCATGAAAGTCCCATCTTTTAAAAGCAACATGTGAGACGGGTCATGGTTCTGTGGCCTCTGTATTCAAAGAACCCTCTGAGGATTAACATTTAGGGTTCAGTCCTGCACAAGTTGTGTGTATTTTCAATATGAAATGCTTTCTGCACATCTGACTAAACATCAACCTGCACGTACTTTACACTGCTGCTGTTTTATTGATTTAACCGAAGCTACTGAGTCTTATTTAATGAAAAAACAAATCAAAACTGTAGACGCTGCTTTGAGGTTACGGAAAAAAAAAACTGTAGACGCTGCTGTGAGGATACAGAAATTCTGTAGACTTTCATTCAAATAAATATACTTCATGAACCAGTGAAGAACTTCAGATTTTCAGATTGTAACTTTAGGGTCTACAGGAGTCACATGGAAGACGTGTAACATGGCTAAACCTAAATATAACAGATTAGATTGAAAAATGTATCTAAGGAAAAGTAAATTTTTCAGACACTGTGCACCAGACCGAGGATGATGGCTTAAAAAAAAACATCAGCATTGTAAAATACATGTGATGATAACACCAGAGGTCAGTGTTCCTGCAGTTCTGAAATCTAACCATGTGCGCCCCACTGCTGTGATATGAACTGTTTCTTCATATTGACGAAACAACGCAATAACAACATTTATAGGGTCGTGAACTCGTATTTATATCAGCATAGCGTGAATGACAAATGTACCGGAAGTCATCATTTATTTATTCACTGTATGTCTCAGTCCTTGACATGTAGCAAAAACTCATTCAAACCTGTGGCTTTAAGAGTGTATGTGTGTGTACTGTATGTATGTCCGTGTTTGTGTGAGACAGTTTGACTATCGAGTGACCATAACTGTCAACATGTGTTTGAATGTAAAGATGTAAATTTATTTTTATGTGAACTATTTGTGTTTATAAGGTTAGCTGATACTGGCGTTTTAGTCAGACGTGTTTATTTAAATAAAAAAAAGTAGTGTAAAGCAAAAATATCTTTTCTGCTTTGTTTATTTTGTTATGTTTCTTTATTCGATACATCGAGAGTCCCTCCTTGATGCAGCTATTCCAGACTAATCGGTTTGTTTTCTGCCTGTTTGGCTGCTCACTTAAGTTAAATTGCTCTTTGACCAAAAATTAAAGAAATAACTAAAAGAAAAATAACATTTTTACTGGACGACAAAAACAACCCAGTTATTCAGCACAACACGATTAAATCCATACATATAATTCAAGTAGAATCGACTTCTCCGTTAGGTTCTGGCTACATTCGATCCTACACATGGTTTGGGAAAACAAAATTTCTTGATGAATACTTGTTTTTAAGACGAAAAAATACGCATATATTTAAGATAAAAGTCGTACTTCACAGTGATTTTTATTTGGCGGAAATATATTATACTACAGTTTAAAACGTTTACATTTTATGAGTTAAAACCAGGTATAAAAACGATCTACTTTACTTTGAAGCATTTTTTCCGAGCTTGTGGAGAGCTCCTGAAAGCATCACAAATGTGGTCCAATGGCTTAATCTCTCTCTCCATCCCTCCCTCACTCCCTCACTCTCTCACTCACTCTCAGTTTCAACACCCAGCACAGCTCCACAATTTTCGCTGTTAAACAATTCAGGAAAACAAGGTGAATTCGTTTTTCCGTTTTATTTATTCGTTATCGCTAATTATTGGAAGTATTGGAAAAAACAGAAATGTTTTTTTCGAGTGTATTCGGACGGACGTCGACGTTAGGTTTGCCTCTCAACACCACTGCTGTGCTCAGGTGAGTGTGACTTCAGTTGTTCTGCCAAAATAAATCATTTATTTACTTTATCCAGAAGATAATTCACCTGCTTGTTACTTGTACTTTAACACTTATTGACAAACACCAACACTGGTGAACTTGTCCCTTCAAGTGTGAGAAATAATTAGCTTTTATACTGCGTAACTCATTTAACTAATAAAATGAGAGAAAAAGATTACAGCCATTTAGATGAACGCTTGGCTAATGTGAGTAACACTTTAATCATTCTTATAGTGTTCCCCTTAAACTATTGTGTTTGTTTTCCTGAAATCGTTTACAAATATATAAATAAACCCAGTCGGTGACAGTTAACATCAGAATTGTGAGTATGAGGGTCTGTTCTCTTTGAGGGCTTCTTTTCAGTTGGACAATTTAATGGCAACCCAAAAAAGAAAATGCCAGAAACCACGACAGAAAAAACTAGAACTTACCCAGAACTAATCAGAAGGATTTTGAAAAAAAAGTTTAACTATTGTAAACTAATCAGAAGGATTTTGAAAAAAAAAGTTTAACTATTGTAATTTTAAAAAAAACAACAACAAAAAAAAATTTTGCTAAAGCCGCTGGAGACAAACCTTGAAAACAAGGCCGCGAGCAGTAAATCAAGGAAACTGGCTCAACATGTCACATGTTACTATGGATAATAAATATATGTTTTTTTAAAACTATTTTTATGACTGTAATCTGTTGCTTTAACAGTGATATTTTGAGTAGTTTGAATTAGGAATTTGGTTCTATTTTAATGTACATATCCTCATTGTTTTTTATCCAAGGTGCAGTCTATGAAGACCACTTTCTTCAATTTCTCCGACATCAGTTTTTTTGTTGTTGTCACAGTTATGGCTCCAGCTTTGACCAAAATAGTGAGAGAAGGTCAAAGCCTTCTTCTTGCCTCACCTCCTCCTTTTGGAGGTGTTGACTCAGAAGGTAGAGCTGTGTCTAGCACTAAGCTGGAGCCTGACATCATATCTACAGGGGACAATGGCCAACTGATGATGATGGGCTTGAATAGTTCCTCCTTTTCCTCTTTGGAATCCTTTTCACCTTTAAATTTCTTGAACCCTACCCCTGCCAACCCTTCGCCTTCCTCACATCAGAAAAAATCTGTCAGCCAGGTGTTCCTCCTCAGCCCCCTCAGTGTCCCGTTCTCCAGTGAAAACCAGAGAGGTTCTCAACAGGAGGTTGCCTTTTCACCAGGTGCACATGACACGTTCTCAGGCACCGTCCTTCAGCACAATAGCCAGGAAGCTCGTTTCCCTGAGGGCCTCGGTTCTTCACAGAAACGCTGGCCAGATGGAGTTGATGTACATTCACCTTCAGATTCCGTTGAGAAAATTAAGTTCTGTGATTATAGTCAAGCTGTTGCATCTCCAGAGAAGACAGTGTTACAAGATGACGGAACCAGATTGCGCTGTCCTCCTCCAGCGTCAGTACATATCTGCAGTGACAGGTGGAATTCTCAGCAGCTGCCAGGGAAATCTGTGCCGAAGGAGGAAGTCGTAAGAGAGCAGGAAGGAAGACGCAGTCGAGGTCAGAGATTGGTGACTCCAAACAACACATCGTATCCTTCTTCACGTTTGTGCGTCCAGGGCTATGACACCACAGCCAGCAGCAGCTCTGACTATGAACAGGTGGAGGAGTTGGATGGGGATGGAGGTCAGCGCGAGACCACCACTGTGTCTGAGTGAGTGTGAAAGAAAAATCTCTAATGTTTATTTTTCTCCATGTGTTAATGTGGCATCTAAACAATCACAATGTAAAAAAAAAAAGTTTAATTCCTAAACTCCTGCAGCCTTCAGTGTAATGTACTTCTCCTCAATATTTGTGGAAAATGTCTACTTTTCTCCACCTTACTGTTTAAATTCTCCTTTTACAACAGCTCTTCTGTTTTTTTTTTACTTCCCCGTATGTTTGGATATATTGTGTGTTAGTATTTGACAGGGCTACATGGCAGAGGGTTTAACTGCGGGACACACCCAAAACCCTAATGCCACTCTGTGAGCCAAGTACTAGTGTTCAAAGAGTGGAATTCTTCGTAGTACTTGCTGGGGCCGGTCCTACATCAGCCAGGATTTGGCACAAAATCCAATCCTTTATTTCTGGTTTGCTGCCAGCAGCCGAGACCCGACCAATACGTCCTAGTCATCAGTGTCAGTATCTTCGTAGTAAAGAGTTTGTAAGTGAGTGAGAATAGGCTCATTAGGTGTAAAGTGAACCCTTGTTGACTGCTCTCCTGACCCACCTAATGCCTGGCAACCATCCTTGGAATTTCCCCATTATACAGTTGGATGGAGCTGCAGGACAGTGAGCTGTGGTCATGGTCTGTGAAAGAGAAAAAAAAAGAAAGTGAAAGTGAGAAAGGGGGAGGAAGGGGAGGCAACTACTGAATGTGTATCAATTTGCTGCTAAAAGAAACTTTATTTCCGCAGTATTTTCCTGTATTTACAGTAAATACATGTGGTGTATGACCACAGTCAAATGGCTGACAAAGAATATTTGGGGGGAGGGGGTTAAAAAAAATACTGCCCTTGACTTGAACAGTATGTATTATTGTATTCTTTGTTGAGCTGCTTCCTGTCGGCCATAACCTTTCCAGCTGCTGCACCAGAAGTGTTTGAAGTAGAGGGAGTCACTCCCTGTCCTCCAAGGTCTGAGAGCACTGCTATAGCAACACACTCTGGAAAGATGTTAACCACTGCAACGCCCATGAATACACATAGTACTGTAGGTAAAAAGTGTTTTAATTCTGTCAGGATGATGGGGGTTTTTTTTAACGCCCACTTACTGTACGTGTCTGTGTGTAAGGATTATTAAGCAATACCTTGTGTTACAATTTATTACTTGGGCCTATTTAGTTGAATCCTGATATGCTCACAGAAATTGAAGAAAGACACCTGCAAAGATTGAGTCTCTCTTTTTTTAATTTTTAAAGCTTTCTGCTTCCCTCTAGTGGAAAAGTATTTAAGTATACCCTGTGGCATGGAACAAGACTCAGTAACTAGTCATATATGAGAAAGTATTTATACTGGTGTCCAAAAATATTTTGACTTTATTCCTTCTTTTTTTGCATGACAGATATTGCCTTAGTAAAACGTTTGACCTTGAGGATTGTCAAAGATGAATGGCTCAGTCTGAGACCATTCACTTCCTGTATCTGTCAGTGTCGTCCTCTGGACAAAATGATCTGAAGGCATTGCCCAAAGGTAGTGGATAAACCAATGTGACTGTGACACAGTTTTTCCCTTCTTTCTCCTCCACCTCCTTACACCCCGCAGCGTCAGCGTTTCCAGCGGTGGCATCAGCAGGAGCATCAGCAGCAGCAGCTGTGAGCAGCAGTGGCTGGAGGAGAGGGCAGAGTTGGGTAGCAGGTGGAGCTGGCTGCAGCAGCGTTTGTCCAACCTAGAGAGGTGGATACGACGAGTGGAGGAGCTCCGTAAGCAACTCCGCTCTGTCAAAGTAAACAGTGTTCTCCTTTATATTGTAATATGGAAGGCATGTCATTTAAATTTGAATTTGAAGCTGTTAAACACAAAACCAGATCTGAGTCATAAGAATATATATCAGTTCTTTGTGAAATTGTTAATACCACCAGCAGGGGGCAGTACAAAAAATAATATTGTACTCATTCTTGTGCATTTATGCTGTCCTAGAAATCTTATCTGTGATTTTACTCACTCTACTCTGTTTAATGTTTGACTGAGACTTTTATTTTTATTTTTGCATCTCAGGGTCGTGTGGTGTTTGCGCCCCCTCAGGATTTGTCAGAGCGGCACAGTGATGCTGAATCCTGCAGCCCCACACGCATGCTTCACAACATGGAGAAGCAGGTGGGTGAGAGGGACAAGGGTATGAAGTTTTAACCTTAGATTTAATTGTTTCAGTTTAAGAATATAACTTGATTTATAAGACTATGTCAAGAAATGTGAACTGATATTCACATTTACTGAATCATATTAAAGTATATAGACTTTTTTCTTTCATTTCTGTAATTATCTCTCAGGGGGAGCTACTCTCTACATTTGATCTGGGGGGGTTTGATTGCTTGCTTAACACACCACAGCCGCACCATGGCCTGCAGTCCTCTGATTACAAGCTAGCCTGCCTGTAATCAGCTAACCACTTGACCAGAGGCTGCCGCCCTTCACACACAATCACTCACTAATCATCAGGATAAAACATGATTTATAAAAAAATATATAAAGTAGAATTTGCACTTTGATTGAATGGGATGCAGAAAAATCTGAATCAGATTTGATATGATTGACTGGGTCTGTTGGTGCAGTGAAGTTGAATGAGCTTTTTGTTTACAAAAATGTAGATTTGTTTTGTTGCTTTTCTTGCATTTTTATAGAATATAAAATATGAAAATGGAGTGTTCTAATCTATGATTTGGATGATGTTTCCAACACAGAGTCTCCTGGTGTCAAGTCTGATTCCTCCACTGGGGTTTTCACCGCCATCTGAACACACACAGACCTGTAGAGTGAGGGAAAGTATTATAAGGTAGATAACACACAGACCTGTAGAGTGAGGGAAAGCATGATAAGGTAGATAACACATACACACACTCACAAACACACAAGGCATTTTATTACTATATATTTTAACAGTAATAAAGAAGATTTTATATATTTATCAAAAGCAAAACATTCATCTAAAAACTCACAACCAATCCTGCTGTTTAATTAAAAAAAAATCTACTATTTCACATGCACTGAATGATGAAACGTGCTGATTTTCTGCCCTTTTTCCTGCTTGTCCTCGCCGCACGAGTCCTAACCCTGACATTTATGTGACATCATCTGGTCTCGTCCCTGCAGTGGTCTGAAAGGCAGCGACACATTCGTGCCTGGAGGCACGAAGAGGAGAAAAACAGGGAGCAGGAGGCAGTCGTGGTCTGGCGTGTCAAGAGGTTGTGCCAGATCCCGACCTTTGCTCTTATACCACAGACGTATACTGTTTACTTTCAACACCAGCGGCAGCAGCAGTAGTCACCTGGTAGGACAGAAGTGCCTTTACAATCTTGTTTGTTCTTGGTGATAAAACATGAATTAACCTCATAAAGCTAAAAGCTAAACAGAAATGCTGTACAGTATGTTATATTCCCTTTGTTTATGCTGTTATTATCACCACATTAACAGACCTCCTCCTCTGATCCACTTCGCGTCTCCTGTTGTAACTATTACTGCAGCTCCAGCTCATCTCCATCCTCAAGGAAACAAAGATTTAAATCTCACCCTGGTAAGAAATATATATATATATATATTTTAATAAATGCAGTACAGTTAACCAACTGATCATTGTTAGAATTCCTAACGTGCGGGGATCTGTGTTTATCGTACTGCAGATATCAAAAAGGAAAGACATCGTAAACCCAGAGATGTTGTTCTGTCACCAATGAAGAGTCATCACAGAAGAGAGAAAAGGAGTCGCAAAAAAAAGCAGCAGCTGCAAGAAATCCTCACTCCACGGTAGTAAAATAAAAAAAATAAAAAGTAAAAAGTATCCTTACTTTTTTTTATCATTTTCATACGTTATATTTTTTAAGGTGGCGACTTGTGTCCACACAGCTGGTGATGGAGAAGAAGTCAGATGATGAGGAAGGTCAGGTAAGGTCTCAGACTTTTTATGCCACTGGTGAGGAAAACATCATCTTTTTTCATCATTTGTTTGTGTGTGTGTGTGTCAGGCTGAAGATCTCAGTGATGAAGCCTTTGCCCGGAGGCACTGGGCTCTGGAACAGAGGGAGAAGCTGCGCTGGTCGACCTGGGATGAGAGAAAAAGCTGCAGGCGTCCTACAAGGTGGAAACACATTAACACACAATGAAAACCTTTCTGGTGTTGTGTCTTTGGTTCATTCATGTTCTGCTGCTAAGGTATTTTCAGACAGGGTGAGACGCCTCCTGGACAGTTCGTGACAGGGCCTCGTTTAGAGACAAACAGGCGTTCACACCAGTCGTCAATTTAGTGATCAATCCACTTTTTCTGAGTGCAGAGACCTCAAAAATGAGTATTGCAGGGCTGTAGTACCCACTGATTATTAGCATGAGTGCTTCTGGGATTCTGGGAAACCCTTCACGGACCCTTCACCTCTCTCATCCTCTGATTGATGACAGCGTGATTTTAGTGCTTTGATTGAAGGAGCTGATGATAAAAACCCAGGCTCATACTGTAATCAACTGTGTGTTCAACTGTGCTAAATATATGACATCACTGTGTCCAGGAAGCCTTGATCATTTGATTTCAAAATAGACATATGAGCAATGTGAGCAATTATGATTAAGGGTCTGTAGAGTCTTCGTTATAATTGAGCCAAGTTGGACTGATGACACAAAAGAGAGCATCAAGATACAAATCAATATTAAAGCTGAATTAAATTTCTGCATTCTGCTGGTGGGATAAATGGTTTATTGAATGAATGTATTATATTTAGGGGAGGGTTATATGGTGGAAGGTCATCATTATTAATGTTATTATTATCATTACCGTAATCCTACTACTGTATATTTTCCATCTGTTCTGCTGCAGCCTGAGAGTTCCTGGAAACCAACAGTGTTTCCTTTAGAGGACAAGGAAGAGGAAAGGGAGAAAAAAAATCCGTCTGAAATGGAGAAGAAAATGTTTTTCCAGTCTGGCCACTGTCTGGTATTGTGTCCATTCCAAAGAAAAAACTCCAACCCTTGTCGAGGCTCTCGGGTGCAACACTGCCCTCTACTGCGCAAGACGGGGAAGCTTTGTGAGCGGATAACAAAGCAGGATTTTACTGTACAATTTCATATCGTGTATCTTGTATATATATTTTTCTTATTGCAAATTTCTACTGCAAACCATCAAAACTATTACTTTTTCCTTTGCCAAATACTCTTGAAAACTATGAAACCTCTAAAAGGACACAGAGGGGAAAATATTTTTTTTCCTCCATGTTCTTTTAGGAGCTCCGTAAAAAACACTGATTATAGCAAAATATTTTTTTTATCAAGGTGACTAATCCTGAACATTTCATATAGTTTATGTTTGTATTCATCTGATTTCTCTGTCTGGAACTGACACAGGTACCTGAAAACATCACCAGACAATGACACTTTTATGTTACAATACATTATACCTAAGAATCGGGAGTTTGTATAACCTTCAGCTCCAGTAGGGGGCAGTCAATCGTTTCTTTCTGTTAAACTGTTTCTTTTTCTTTTCATGGAGAAGCTGAACATCAAGATCACCATTTAAAAAATAATATGAGCCAATGTTACTGTAATCAGTGTTTGTGTATTTGATAGTTGTGTATTTATACGTCTTTTCTGATTAAAAAAGTAAACAGATTGACTTTATATACAATTTTTATTATTAATATTGTTATGTTGTTAAAGGTTTTGAATGACTAAATTTGAATATATTCCAAAATAATATAAGATTGCATTGCATGTATCACCATATAGGATAATGAAAGTGTATTTAGATTATTAATATATATCAATGTATTGATATTGACAGAACAGCACAGATAAAAAAGCTAAATACATATAAATAAAGTAATAAATAAAGTTAATAGTGTTGACAATAATTGTAAAACAAACATAAAACAGATACTTGTGAGATGATTTCTATCATTAAATCATCATAGAATAACACTTTTATTCACAGTCATCTCAATATTCCACATGTTGTCATAGAGCACTAGAACTATTTTGAGGAACCGACTGACTGGTGTCAGGCAGTAGGAGCTTTGATTCTTTGCACTTGTTCCTCCTTCTGACTCTGTGGAGAACCATCAAAGTCGTTTGAAGCATTGACCATCTGCTTCTCTCTGTGGGAGCTGGGACCAACTCACCATGATCTAAGAGTCTCCTCCCACCGGCAGGTCTGTCCAGGCATCTGCACAATGCACTAGGCAGTAAAAGTAATCATTGGTGTCCACACGAGGGCGACATTGTCCATTTTAGAAGTCAGCCAACGTCACAAAAAGTTTAATGCAACGATTTTTTAAAGATACAAATTCTATAAAATATTATTAGAAAGGTGACCTATGTTGCCTTTTCGTTCCAAAGCAGTGCTAATAAAATTATTTAAGCAGTTTATGACCAAAAACATCCTTCAAAATTCTTAAAAGAACAAATACTCTAATGAAAACTTTACTTAAACGTTTGTTGTTTGTTGTCAATATTATGATATTCTTTAAATTGGCAGCTGTGACACCCAAATGTGAAATGATTTCCCCCAAAACATTAGTTTCCACTTCCTTTCGCTATGTTGTGTGTGTGCTGTGTTTTGCATTTCTATCTAATGACTTCTCGTTTATTTTTTGTTTGTTTTCATATATTTTACCATGAATCTATTATTATTATTATTATTATTATTAAATAAAAAACATCTTCAGGATTGGATCATTTTAAAGATTTTCAAACATACACCTATAGACACAGGAAGTGAAGCACCTGCGGGGACACATTAGGTGAGACACAACAATAGACAGGAAAACAAGGCAGGTCAACACTCAGGCGAGGCCATAGATGTAACGTAAACCACAGGTAAGAAAAGTTTGTAAAATATCAGTAAATACGTTATTATGGTACAAAACATATAAATAAATAAATAAAGTGATGCTAAACGCGAGATAGCTAGTTAGCAGCACATGCTAGTTTCGCCCTCATTTTAAGCCAGCTGGCTCAAAATGAGTCATAGTTTGGCTATTTGTTTTATAAAATGATGGTCAGTTACTTATGTTGTTTAGTTGCAGCATTTACACAAGGGCATTTAAATGATTAGGTTTACTAACAAGTGCCTGCTAAATTCTTCAAGATGACTGATGCTGAATTTATATCCAAATACCTGAACCTGAACCAAACAAATGTCCCTTGTTTTACACACAAGTAATCTCTGCTAAATCTTAAAAAAACAAAAAAAACAAACACTTTTATCATTACAAATTTCCGCCATTCTCTGTGTTTGATATCTATTAGCAAATGGAGGATTTTAACACCGTAATAACTGGGCAGAGCACAACCACGGCGTGGCGGTGTGATTACTACAATCATTACGGTAAATGTAGGCTGCGGCGCCTCTGTGTCCGTTAGACGAGGAGTTGCACTGGAAGACACTGCGCCGGACAGGTAAAACAATAAGACATTACACACTTTTTAAAATGTATTTTTTTGTGTGCTATTGATACTAGGTTGATATACATCAGTATGTGAATGTTAACCATTTATGAACTGGACTGTGTGTGGGGCTGAGGGGGCTCCTTTACAGTCGACATTGAGTGGACATTTGAGGGTGCAGTGATGCTGAAACGATGAGACGCTCCTCTGTGAGAGGAATGCAGAAAGGACGCATTGTTCGTCTGGATTCACAACTGGCTCCGGGTTCTGGTGCGTCTGTGTCTCGTACCGACTGTCAGTCACGTTAAATGGACAATGTTGCGGTGAGAGGCTGATGAAACCGCAGCTGAGCAACAGATCTAGAACCCGCGTCATTGTGATACAGACGGTGCCTGCTGATGGAGCAGATAGGAACCGGTTTAATTAAACGCCATAGACTTGTGGTTTTTGTTCATGCATTTAAATGATCGTTTCTGCTCGGAGCCAAGGCTGTTGCAGACACTGCGGGGATCTTGCGTAGCTGCTGTGCCCGGACCCTTGTTATCTGGTTGTGTAATCCTGTGTAGGATACCTCAAAGACAATGTTCACAGGCTGCAACATAACAGCCGGTGTGGAATTATTTGATATTGATTTATGATCTGTCCTGTGGCAGAGAAGGACAGGAGTGCAAACACAGGTGCTGAGTCATATTGGCTCTCCTCTGATTGATTAGACTAATTAAAAGCACAATATGTCCATGTTTTTACTGCCACAATAACAGAAGCATTTTATTTGACGTCGATGTTGTTGATCTGATTGCCTCTTATCCTTGATGGGACACCAAGCCTATAATAAAACCATCAGCAACACAGATAAAGAAGCTCAGACCTGGACATAATTTACTCAGCTCCTTCTGGATTTGTAACCGTGAGCCCAGCATGGCCGAAGCCTCAAGCAGCACAGGTTTACCATTAGGTCTCATTTGCATGTAGTGGGCTTGCTGTGGACTCCCCACTCTTTAAGTCCACTGGCCACAGTATCTACAGTACATTTGAATTTCAGAATTCACAATGAGGCAGGGATTCACTGAGTCATGAGGAGTCAGACAGGCTGACGGGAGCTCCTCCTTTCTGAGGGAGTTGGCTCGTATTTCTGGAGGAGCAGCCTGGCCGTCGTTCATTTTTTCCACCTATGTCTGGTCCGGTTCTCTTTGAATTGCCCAGGACAGGAGGGAAGAAGAATCTCCAGTTCATGTGGACTCTGACCTCCATTTTTCTCTTGTCTGAATGTAAGGAGAAATGCATTAGGATGGGGAACTCTGTGGGGTTTTATATGTCGCAGTGTCATTTCTATTGTTTTCTTTTATTTGCAGTTACACATGTGGAGATCTGAATGAAGCCTACATTTGTGGCTACGTGCTTTATTTCGTTAGGTCATTTTACTCCGAAGGCTCAGTGTAGCTGATGGTTGTGTGAAGAGATTTTTCAGGGATATTTTAGAAGAGAAGTGAATTTCTAAAATTGAAGGTTACTGGCTTAGGTTTTTTGAGTTGTGATTTTAAATAGCACTGACTTTTTGTCAGGGTTGGGAAACCAAATTTAAATGAACCTAAATCAGCAGTTCTCAAACTATGGTTGGCATACCGGTGGTGGTACTTGGTCTCCCTCTAGTTGTAGGCGGTGGCATTCTGAACCAAATTAGAAATGTCATCTTCATAGATTGTGCTTAGCTTGTGCTTAACAGGCTGAGTCTGTACCGCTGTATTCAAATGTTGGTTTTACAGTTGGTTCTTAGAAAGTACATTACAATCTGTGTTCTCTTCAATGAAATAATTCAGATTTTATATTTTAGCTTTTGTATTAAAACACCAATGTAGAATGAACTATTTCCATAATGGTGCACATTAAAAAAGTAACTGACAGAAATAATCAGACAGTAAGTAAACACTCATTATGTTTGCATCAAGGTTAGAGCCGTCAGCTCAAAGTGCACACGTTAAACTGATGCATGGATGATCTACACAGCACCTGAGGTAATCCATCAATTTTTACTGCTTTTTAATAGAGGTGTAAATAGCAGAAATGCTAGTGGTGAGTTAGTGTCTCGAAAAAACTCATTATCAACAGCAGTTTGTCAGCACTGGGCCTATGGAGTTCTGTACATCAGCAGAAAATGTCCCTAATCCCACCAACAAACACGGCCAATCAGAAAAACTCACACCTCCAGACATGCACCGTCTGAATTCGTACCTTGACGTCATGCTTTCTATCTCCCCCTCTCCCGCCCTCTTGTGGACGTGCGCTTTGTTTTTCTGTGGATGGGGAAGGGATATTGGGAAAGACTTCTTGTAAGAAAGAGGCGAGCCACTCAGTGGTAGCTTTGGCAGGAGCTGCGGCACTTCAACTGCCATGTCTGCCAGCAGGCTGCCAGCCTCCCTCCTCTTCCCTGCCTCTCTGGCGAAGTCAAGTACTCCAAGTCTTTGGAAGATCAACCCATTTGTAATTGGCAAAACACAATA